GCAAATACTTCAGGTTTTAAAAGGCTACCTGTAAAAGCATGAAGACCAGATCAAGCAGTGTTTGCAATACATAAAGATATGTCTATTTGAAATACCTGCAGACCATCAGACAAAACTTTTCAACCAGCACTACTCAATGGATCTGAAGTATGGATTTTAACTAGATAAATTGTCTGTAATTAGATTTGTGTATAAGCTTCAAATAATCACATTACACGGTACCTTGTACTAAAGATTTGTATCCTCAGTACATAAAAGTATGCATTATTTCATACTGCCTTAAGATGATATCTTTGAAGAGTAAGTTGTCAAATATGTAATTGTCTTATGTTCAGTCCTTCTTGCCGTTCGTTTGAAAGGCCTCTTTACCAGAGGGAACAATCTTCCCAAAAACGAACAAGCGTCTCGAAACGCATGATCCCCAGTCGAATCCTGCGATTCAACTGTGGAAGTGGCAATCTGTCTTCACTTTTCAACTTAAAATTCTCGTTAATCTGGCTAATGATATCAGTTCCGTAACTTACCCAGGGTTGAAATTGCGTGCCCCATGACAGCCTGCATATTCATCCATCTGTAGCTTAACTTCATAATCCAATTTGGGCTTGATACCAGGCATAAGATGGTATAAATCTTCCAATAATTCCCCGAAGGAATGTCCTGGACAGATGTCTGCTGAAAGAGATTCATCCGCAACACTCTTCAGTTTTGATCCGTATGCCTGAACGCTGGTGCAACTCCTGGTTGATAGTCCTGTCCTGGTTGAGATCCAGGGTGGGTACTATGCGGCCCGTGTGGCTTGCAGAAATCGGAATCAGTAGGCTTCCAGCTCTGAGTTAAGATTTAATCGGTCTATCCACAGGCTGGCACGCATGACGTGCATTCTGGTAGGCATCTTCCCACTGACTCCTACGTCTGGGCGAATGACCAATCTGTAGGTCTACCATGGTCATGGCGTCCGTGCTGACAAGCGTAGCTGTAGTGATACGTGGTGTTCAGCCTGCCCATGGTGGGAACCCAATGACCGTTTCAAGTTTCATGACTCCATGGTGGGTACTGGTTTGTGTACCCTGCTTCACGTGGACCAAATCTTCCAAGCTGACTTGCCAGTTTTTCAGAATGTGACCACCAGCTGCTAGCCTAAGATACAAAGCCTGAAGAGACGAAATGTCGCAAGTAGACACTTTCTGCGTCGTCTGGCCTCAAGTCTTCCTAATCCCCTACAGGCCTGTTGACAGGGGATTTCGTCTAGGTACGTTGTTTTCTTCTAATGTCAGCCATATCTGCTGATGGCATGTTACGTCTCTTGTTAGAAGGTGATGGGTCTGTGCCTGGCAATTTCCTTGTCCCCTTAATGACCTCTTGGTCGGGTACAGATCTCCACCCCTACCTTCCTTAGGGGCTGACCATTTAATATTCTGAGAGGTGCCTATGACTTCTTCGGACTGCACTTCCAGCACTTTTGTGTGGAGTCGCAACTATCATGAAATGTCCACACTTCATGCAGGAGGTGAATATGGACGGATTCGACACCGCCATGTCAATCCCAACACGTTAAAGCTTAGCAACTATGTAAACTAACGGGTAACTAAGGATCACAGGATAGTAAAACTTTGTTGAGCTGAAAATAGCGTGAGGACTACCATAGTAGTATGCTATGTTAAATATTGTTGCTAGCACTAGCACACATAGGAAAGAATCGGGATGTTTATGCCTTGCGCATATGCAACAGGTACAGGTGATTGCACAACTGATATGGATAGTTGATAGTGAAGAGAACTTTTGTTCAAAATCTGGAATGTTTTACAGTGTGATGACAGCCAAAGTACAGGATTAATGGTCATTCACAATAATCATATGGATTCAAATCGAGCATCTTTGACAAGGGTTCCAGACAACAATTCTCACAACCAATACCATCCTTAAAAACCAGCCGTGTATTTGCGAGGACAGCCCGGCAACGTCTGTGCATCTACTGCATTCGTGTGAGATGCCCAGCCAGAAGGCCAATCCTGATAGCAGAACATCAGTTTTGCAGACAACACTCTTTCAATGGAGAGCATATCAGTGGAAAGGGCCCTCTTCTCTGACCAGTCGCCGATCCGACGGCAAGACATGTGTCTACAGGCGTCAAAATGAACGTAACGTGTTCTTGAAGGTGAATGCTTTGAAGGGGGTGGCGTTATGATTAGGGGTGAAATAACGGCTACAGGAAGGACTCAAATGATTGTAATTGATCGGAAATTGAATGCTGCCAAATATCAGATGAGCTTTTGCAATTTCACAATTTACAGAACAGCCCTAGGGTTACATTGCAGCACGATAACACCAGACCACATGTTGCGAGAGTTGTGCAGCAGTATGTTAGTGTGATAGTGGGCCAGCTAGATCCCCTGATCTGTCACCAATCAAACATGTTTGTGACGTCTTCCATATACTTCCAACAACGTTTCAGGAACTCTGGCTTATTCTTCCACAGATATGGAATGCCATTCCCCAGGTTTTTTTCTTCAATGAAGGTGTCAGGTCTGCATCAATGCACAATGTGGACACTGTGTGAACTTGCCTATTAAACCGCCTCGTGTGACATGACCATATTTGTATATGGAAGGACTGCTTTTTATATGTACCGTTGTTCGTGGCCTTACCTTCAGACATTGTTCTTTCCAAGTGATATAAATCCATCTCTTTTTCCTTTGAGTATATTAGAATCAGCCCATAAACTATGATATGTAGCTAACTTCAATATGAATCACTGCCGCGCCTCTTTCCTACTCTCCCTCCCAACCTCATAAGCTGAAATTGGTGTAAAACCATGCTCACTATTTGAAGCAAGAGGGGAACCCACCTACCACTTTACTTATGGCCTCAAGATGGGAAGATCACCTGCTAATTTTTTTTTAAAGGGTAGTATAAAAACTACAAAATTCACAAAAGTCAACTTTCAGATTCATAGAATACTAACGGAAGAAAGTAACTGTGCTTCATATAAAGTTCAATAAACATAATTTTGAACCAGGGAGATAGTTTTATGGATATACAACTTCTTTATTACAATGAATGCTTCTTTAAGTAGCATTTAGAAGCTGTTGTATATCTATAGAACTGTCTCCCTTGTTCATCATACCAACTTCTAAATGGAACTTATAGTAGAAAATATATATTTATTCTGAAATTAAATATTGGACCTTTCAATACATATTCATTAAGACATCCCCTCGATTTTATGGTCATGATTCACAATTTGCACGTACATGTTAATGCACGGCCCACAGATTGGATGGTTAAGTGTTTGTTGGGAGCATGACACTCATACACGTGTTTTTTATTGTGAACAGCAATACAATGATTGTGGGCATGCTGCAAACAGGAATGGCGCAAAACGAAGTTGCCAGACACTTTAATGTTCATCGAAACACATGATTATCTCTTTGGAGATGTTATCTACATCAAAGGAACACTCCTGTCTTGCCACGTCACGTCAACAACGCAACCTTTATGCGGTTGGTGCATCTACATAATTGATACCAAACTGCCATATTAACAGCTCAGACAAAAAGTGGCAGAACCGTACGCTACATTGCAGTACCGGTTGAGGGACTACAACATCCGGCCCCCACGTCTAGCAATATGCTCAATTTTGCTTCCACATGACCACCAGGCACGCCCAGCTTGGTGTAGACAGCATCTGAGGTTCTGAAGACAAGACAGGAACGGGATACTCTTCACATGTGAGTCGTAATTTCATCTTGTCAGCTCTGAAGGTTGTGTAAGGATATATAGACATTCGGGAGAGTGTTTTAGCGAAGCTTGTGTTCCTCAACATTGTCAGTTTTGGGGTTGAAGTGTAATGGTATGGGCGGCATAACAACTCATGGGAGGACACAATTCATTGTTACGGGGCCGATCATTTGATTTGAATTCCTGGGAGAGGGGGTGGGTGGCCTAAATAATTAGGCTTCAGACTATTGAAGAAAAGAAGAAATTGTCTTCCACAAAAATTACATTTGTTGCAAGGTGTTTTTCTCAAATAAGATTCAGGCTCAGAGTTTTAAATAAATTAATATCTGGTTATTTTTACCTATCCAAGTTAATTTGATACAAAAAATCTGAAATTTGTAATCTGTATTTGAAAAAATAAATTGATGTCTCAGTGTGATACCACTTTATGCCAGAACTACTTTAATGACGCAAGGTTTTTAGAGTCAAATCGTGAGGTAAGAAAATACATAAATTGAACATTTGTCCTTTATTGTCAAATACCCTGCGCCACTCTTGAAAATATTAATGTCACTTGATGATAGACATGTTATTGACAAGAAAAAACAACTATCCTCTGTTTATTATGTTTATATTTTGTGATGAAATACAATATTTATCTGAAAACAGATAATCAATATCTCACTCATGTGACACTTTATGCTCGAATTCCTTTCAGTCTGCCTAGTTGATGCTATAGCTTCCAGCCAAAGAAATGTAAGATAAGTAAAAAAATACAAAATAAATTGAGGATATTTTTATCTTCTTGTCTCATAACATGTTTATCTCATTGAGTGACCTGACAAAATGTGTATGTTCATGAGTGACACATGACCTGACTTTAAACAATCAACTCAACAAAACCGTTACAAACAGTGGACCTGATTAATGAAAATAATCTCAATCTGCCCCCCACCTTCAGTATTATGTTCTTTGTTGAATTATTCAACATGTCATAACTTAAAACTTATCCCCTGTCATAGCAATAATGATTTTATGCAATACCAATATCCTCTCAAGATGTTCAGGTGAAGGTGTGGCTATTTTACTCTAATTCAATAGAAAACAAATCTGTGATGAATCATTTACAAAAACATCAATAAAACACATTTTTACACTGCAAATGATATATAAGTTTGTTTTTCTTCTTTGTTGTGTTTGTAAATTTCAACGGGATTCGAACACACCCAGGAATAATTACACCGTTTGAAACTACGTTTCTCGTTTTTACCTCCCTTGCAACATCAGGGGAGGCTACTCTAATTAATGTCACCAAAGCATTAAAATTTCAGATGTCTTTGACGAAAAGAGACTGACGCGTAGATGGAGCGTCCTAAGGACAACTTTAGGAAGTTTTGATAGGTAAATTGGTTCTAGATATTGTATATATTGAAAGACATTGATTAATCTGTCCAAGAATCAGGATAATTCATAGCTTCACAGGTCAGTGAGGTGGATACAACACAATGAGAATAACTAACGAGCTACGAGTAGCCTTGTACGATGAATAACGGTTTATCTTTCCCAAGGAAACTAGCCTATGTCATAGATCCCGAGTGCGCGAATCGAACTGGGGATCTTACATTTAGTTCCAAGGGATGGATAAACCGTAATTCCGAGTTTCGAGTTCGGTCTTCTCTTGCTTTACCCATAATCCATTTTACTGCAAACATATCTAGATCCTATCTTTCCCTTGCCACCTTCAAAATGTTCTAGTATCTGTTAACCAAAACAAATGTACGAAACCGTGAACAAGCAGCCTTTTCACGGCTCATCGGATTGTGTAAAATAGCTCAATATAACCATTTAAATTTAGTATATTTTTATCATTTACACTGAAACAAAAACATTAATTTAATTCATTAACTTTAATAATTGCAAGTTGCATAAATCAACATTGGTGAATTCCAGAATGTCAGTTGAAGTGGGTCACACATGTTGATGTAACGTTACAGCGCCTCAGTAGGCCAATTTTAAGGTTTTCTAGCATGAATAAGTTGATGAAAGACATGCATACCACTACTGGGTGATGAATGGATGGATAAGAAATATTTATCAAGTTATTTATTCAGAATCAGAATACAGAATTATGCTCATTCCATATCATCGCATAGATGATAGACTGAACAAGAGTCATCAGGAGATGACATATATGCTTCTGGTCTGGTTCAATTCAGAAATGGAGTTCGGCTATACTTATACCCACCATTGCCATTGAAAACTATCAGTTCAGTGAAGAAAAAACTAATGCTGTTCAGTATTTTTTAAACTACTTAATCATCAAAAGACACCAGTTCACCACTAGCCTGATCTGTATAAGTAAGTTTCATCCAGAAAAATTCAACGGTTTGGGATTTCTGCTCCGGAAATATGCACTACCATAATTATCAGTATAAAATCTGATTTTAATAAATTAATAAAATGTGTCATCGGGTTATCAGTTTTAGTGCATGTGAGATGATTTGCTACTTTAATGACAAACATCAACACCTTATTTCAAATTTTTCATTTTATTTTTACCCAGAAGGATGGATATATTGGATCGATTCCTATATATGATGACCATATTGTGAGTAGCTAATGAAATGTATAGTCTGGAAGGTAATTTAAGGTACCGACGTTTACTACAATATCTGGAAAACTATCGGACCTACTCCAGTCAAAGTTGGTATGAGATTATTAAACAGTCATACATAACTGGATATTACATTTAAAGACAATCGGTGCATGAATAAAAAATATGTCTATTTAGCTATCACTATATTTCATCAACAGCCAGACCTGTTCGTCACAGGTGGAACAAGCATTCATTGAAACAGCCATCTGCATAATGCTACCCCTGCGTCACAGGGCCATATGACACAGTTGAACCAATCAACTCAACTCAAAAGGGTGCATGGGAATCATGCACGTTGAGACGCCCAACGCTAACACCGTATTCATGCGTTGATTTCACAAGCTTAGTACCTCTCTCACAATTAGGCAAATGAAGCTCCGTAAAACAGGGGCAGTAACTCTGTCAAAATTAGTCGAAATGAAACGGGACTGCGATATGCGTATCATCAACATGTCGACATCTTGTGTGTAGAGTGTCAGGAATATTCTCTGGAAACTGTAGGAGTTGATTTCACAAGTACCCTCTCTCACAATTAATAAAAACTAAAAACTAAAAAAAACATTGACATTAGCAAATATTACGGTAAGGGCTAGAACACTTAAAACTACTTGAAGTAAATTGATGTGATCATTTAAGAAATAAATGGGTGGCACTGCCCAAATACAGGAACTCTGTAATGTTCTTTATTAAAAATGTGATCATGTGACAGGCACAGAGACGGCATGAGTGACACCTGTCTTTGTACCATTTATTTCTATTTGATCTCATCTCTTTCCCTACTTTTCTTGCATTTGTTATTGAGTCACATTTTTGGTTAGGGTCAGCAGTTGCATTCATTTGGAGACACATTAATTTAAAGATTTACAGTATTTTATATCAATGTGGCATTCCATTTGATGTCCATGGATATTCCATGTATTCACAAAGTATAACATTGCGGGACATCATAATGATGTAGGTGCTTTGCCCAGACTAACACAATCAACAGAGCTGCATGGATACCAGTCAAAATGGACAAGCCATATTTGGTTAAGACAGCCAATTGAAGCAGACCAGTGAAATTTTCAGATCCATGGTGGTCGTTTTTATTATTGGTACATATTTTACCACACTACCAACCAGGACATTTCAGAAATACAAATCTATTGAGGGTCCCTGATTGCAGATAATATTAATCAATGGTTTGTCTGACCCAGACATGATTATAGAGTATTTGTACATGCAGCCATGAAAGTATTGATACATAGCTGGGATATTGCTGATTCTACCATGAATTTGGAATTTACTCGATTCTGATTGGTCAATCAGAGGCTATTAATCACAATAAACCCCCTCTAATTGAAACAGCTGTTTCTGACAACCGCATCACTGCGGAAGCTAATACTCATAGAATAGTACTATTTTCAGTCATTGTCGGTAGGCATATTTAAATAATTATCATGATAATATCTACAATTACAGGTTACAAAATGCACAGATGCGGTTACTACAATATTCAAAGGATGTGTGGCAATACATTTCATGCAGAAAACACAATAGAAATCTACAAAGGGAATATATTTACGTTTTGGAGACAACAGAAAGCTTGGAATTTTGGCGCTCTTCTATATACGACTGTGATGTCATATCTTTTGCGTCACAATGAGCGATATGATGTCATAATGGTGACGTGCGATGTAGAGCGAAAGCCTTGCAAGGCTCACTTTGTTTTCTTTAGGGATGCCCACCTCATGTTAGCTTACCAAGTTGCCGTGCTTATATGCTTTCAATGCCTGTCATATGTGAAGTATTACGGTGTAAACAAACTGCTTGAGTATATGCAGCGCCATATTTTGTTTGGTGATTCCCTTATTCAGATCGATAACCCGCTCAAAATACTGGACTCAACCAATGCCACATCACTCAGTATATTTGCTAACACCAAAGAGTTCGCGTTTTATTTAGTCATGGTAGAATGGAGATAAACATACTGAGTTTTCAATGTAGAGCTAGGTTACCTGTAGATTTAACCACCCTAAATTTATCATTTGATACCTCACGCTGCACGTTCGGTTCCAAATTCAATTTAGGGCAGTTAAATCTACAGGTTACCTAGCTCTACATTGAAAACACAGTATGTTTATCTCCTAAATGAGACTTAAAACAAGTTTACAAATCAAATTGAATACATCTTTGCACCACTGCAACATCATGAACAGACAGTAGGTGGAAGGATGTGAGCTAAAAGTGTTGGTGTGAAAAAGGTAGAGAAGTACAATTCACTTTACCATTTGATTTTCTACCCATTATATCAGGTGAAGGATACCTAGTCTGTTTAGTGTTTGAAATAATCCTAAAGTTATAAGTGCACTTGTTTTGTTTTTATGTTTCCAGACAAACTAACTTTGAAGCCCTTTGACCTGAAGATCTTCACCATGAGTTCTCCAGAGGAGTCCTATCTGAAGTGTGATATCTGTCATGCCAATTTCCGGAGCAAAGAAGATTTTCAGACCCATGTAGAACAACACTTCCTGAACACCGAGATCTCCAGGGAGACCAAGTCCGAGTCTCCAGGTCCAAGTGCAGCATCATCAGGTTTAATCTACATCTGTCCAATATGCCAGGAAGACTTTCTGTCTGAAGATCATCTGAAACAGCATGAGCAGTTGCACCAAGGTTTAGAATCATTAGACAATGAAGAGTTATCAAATGAGGATGTTTTAACTGAATACAATGCATTGCAGACTTACCAGCATGGCACTGCAGGTACTTCTTGTGGAGAAGCCAGTGTTCAGTCATATTGTGACAATACAGTTTTGGGGACTGGAGAGGGTAGTTCCGTGTCTAATAGTGAAGATGCTTGTGTCAATACTGTGTTTGGTGCAATGATGAGCGAAGGAGTTGATTCAATCACTACCAAGCCAGAAGTATCTCAGACAGGCAAGAGACCTTTCTCTTGTAGCTTCTGTGACAAGTCCTTCCTGCGCAAGTTTGACTTGAAACGTCATAATGTCACTCACACTGGCGAGCACAGCTTCCGATGTGGAACATGTGGATTAGGATTTTTGGATTCATGTGGCCTCAAGATCCATTTACGTACCCACACTGGAGTAAAACCATACAGCTGTGGAATATGTGGTAAGGCCTTCTCGCGGCAGCATGATGTCAAGCGGCATTCAATCATACATGCCAAGTCTCGGATTAAGTGTAAATGTATGTACTGTAATTTGAAGTTTAATGATCTTACTCAGCTTACCAAACATTTTATTTTCGCTCATTCAGAAGATGATGATGTTGCGTGTTATATGTGTGATTTAACTTTCAAAACTAAAGAAGAGGCTCTCAGACATGTAGAAGAATCACATGAGCAGAATGAAACAGAACCAAGCTTGAAGGCAGGGCTTTCAGACCAGGATGAAGATCGGAATGACTATTTTGATTGTGCCACAGGTCTGAACAAATGTCCTATATGCGAGAAGCTATTCACACGGAAAACCGACGTAAAGAGGCATTTGAAAACACACACAGGACACAAGGATTTCATCTGTGGTATTTGTGGGGTGAGTTTCATGGACTGTTCGGGACTGAAGGTGCATTTAAGGACTCATACTGGGGAACGACCTTTTCGGTGTCATGTCTGTGAAAAGAGCTTCAACAGGGGTTATGACCTAAAGCGTCACATGACAATCCACAAAGATGAACAAATCCTCAGCTGTAGGGTCTGTGATTTAAAGTGTGAAAATATTCCCAGTCTTAATGAGCATCTCCATACACATAAGGAGGCTATAAGGAAATCGCAAGATGACGACGACCTGGAATCCGTATCAGAAGATACGGATATTCCAGGTGATGAGTCTGATCCTGAACTTGGTGAGCAGGAAGACATTCCTCCCACCAAAATGTTTTTTTGTCATGTTTGTAAAACCGGATTCAGTCGTAGTCACGATTTGAAACGGCATGTAAGCAACTTTCATCCAGGAGAATATTTTTTCAAATGTGACATCTGTGGTTCCAAGTTTGATAACCGTCTGGACCTGAAACATCACATGAAATCCCACTCTACCAGTCATGTCACATGCTGTCTTTGCAACACGAACTTTGAATCAGACAACAAGTTACAAACTCATTTAAAGTTCCACACCGGAGAAAATCAACATGAATGTATCGTTTGTAACAATATGTTTTTTAATTCCTATGATCTAAAACGGCACATGATGTCCCACACTCAGGAAAAGCCATACACATGTAGCTTGTGTTCGTGTAAATTCTTTGCTGCTTGTGATCTTAAAGTTCACCTCCGCACCCACACAGGAGAAAAGCCATACTCCTGTCCTGTGTGCTTCAAAGCTTTTAACCGTAAACATGACCTGAAGAGACACACGGTGGTGCACAGCAAGACTCCATCTTGAATATTGTACAGTTTGTTTTGACAATAGTTGTGTGGTCTCACAAGACAACTACCCAGGTATTTGTATGCCGTATTTTGCTAACACTATTTATTTTCTACTTTTTTGTATACACTTTCATAAAGAATGTATTTGGATAGATTCATGTGACAATTTACCTTTAAATCTTATCTCATACTCAAATTGACTGATGTTCATGTAAAGAAAATGCAAACATGTCCCACTTGCAATGCAATTTGCTGTGCAGAATTGTGCTCAGGGTGCAATGAACAGGAGTTGAATCCCAGATTCTCCTTCATTATGATCCTTGGTGTTGGCACAATACCCATGTGGTTTTAATGCAGTATCAGTGTTCCCGTTTACCAGTAATTACCAGTTTTGTACCAGTGAAATTAGGCTTGGACCGGTAATTCAGGTGACTGCCAGTCCCTGTGGACCAGCAAATAAAGTACCTTATAAATCTTTGTTGTTGAACCAAACATTGGTGATATTCATATAAGTACATTTTTCGAACGAAGTCAGCTTGTCTGTTACCATCAGGGTTTCCCTTTGTCTATTTTTATTGCAAGGGAATAACATTTTGCTTTGCTTCGAGATAAAATATCCATTTGTAGTGACTTCATCTTGAAATATTAAAAAAAGGAGAAAATTATGACTGAAGTTAGTGTGAATGATGTTTAGATGAAATTAAGTTACTTCAGAGATGACAAAAATTAGGGTGGGACTGGTAATTATTAGAGCTGCCAGTCCACTAAACTGGCAGTTTCAAAAGCCAGCGGGAACACCAAGTATTAAACAGTATTTCAGTTACTGGGTATATATCAAGGCATGTCAGCATAATGTGGGAGGAAAGCTGAAAGTGACGCTGGTGTAAGATGTGAACCACTTTTGTGAAAGCCATGGGCTATTGTGAACAACATTCAGCTTTTAAGTAAGATGAGGAGATAACGTGGTTCAGCCATATATGATATTTGTAACATTACATGTTTTCCTAGGTTGTTTGTGTGTCATTATTGTACGATGTTTATACATGGTTATCTTTACAGACTATTTTTGTAGATTGCACAAATGAAATAAGAGGCCTCATTAATTAGATTTACATGGTGCATGTATATTCTTAAAACCCAAAACTAGAGAAATGGTTGTGTTTTTTATATACCTTAAGGGATGACATCAGTATGGAGTTATCTCTACTGGCTAGCCAAAACCTTGGAAACTAAGTACCTCTTCAGACGAAACCACAAAGTTGGAACGTCATGGCAAGCAGTCATACCGTTTCATTCCTCGTTTGTATGATGTCGTTTACTTGTACTAATACCTGTGCTGCTTCCACACATTGGGATGCCAAAAGACGAGTGCCTCTCTGCCATGGAACAAACTTTGTCCTGTCCTGAATTATTTTTTGCCTGGCAACAGTGATGGTAACCTGGACCAGCCACCCAGGAGATGTCTCTGAGAGAAAGGACTTGCCAGGATCATGATGATCACCAACTGCATCTGTCTGACAGTGGTAATGTACACCCTCTGGAACTCTGCATGTGTTGGAACCGGTATCTCCCAAACTGAGAAAAACTCAGACTGTTCACATAGTCAGAGGAGTATATTGTGAAAACTTGAACACAACTAGCTGAGGAAGGAGCTCTCACTTCCTCCAGGCTGGGCGGTAAATGGCTGGTAACAGATGTCAACATCATGTGCATGTTTTGGAAGACACATAGGGTCATACAGTTTCAAAGCCAATCCTGTCCCACTACTATGAACACAAGGTAGGTGTCATCTCCCCCTTTCTCTGAGGCAGTCATCTGACCCCATTGAGCACACATCTTGCTGGACTTGTACAAGAAACAAGTGTGTGTTTACCAACTCAGTCAGCAAAATTCCAGCTATAGCACTCCAGCCTGTAAATATTCTAGTCTTGACCAGACAAACCGGTGACTGGGCAGCATCACACACGAGTCCAGCATTATGACATACAATCAATCAAGTCACTGAGTCTATCCGCCTGATCCACTTAGTCACCTCTTACAGGAAGCATAGGGTAATTCAGGGTTAGAGCTGGGCTGTGTTTCTGCGGCATTGACACATCATTGTAATAATTAATGCATAAAAAATGGATATTGTGGGCCCAAGGGCACATTACATATGTGTGATGTCTAACTTGTTTTACACAATCACTTTCCATTTAAAACTTATTCCAATTTTTAAGAAATTTTTGGATCGCAAATACGTTTGATTTGTAATCTGATTTTTCTGACTAATAGTTTTTCTAATGACCAATGAAATGCTCTCATACAGTTTTGTGTCATTCTGAGAATGTTCAGTAACAAATGTATTATTGTTCATGACACAACGATATTATATCAGTTTTCCCGTTTACCAGTAATAACCAGTAAAATTAGGCTTGGACTGGTAATTCATGTGACTCAGTACCTGTGAACCGACAAATAAAGTACCTTATGAATCTTTATTGCTAAACAAAACATTCACAATAATCAATACAGTATATTTTTCGAACAAAGTCAGCTTGTCTACTATAATCAGGGTTCCTGCTGTCTATTTTAGGCCTGCCAGTACCACAAACTTTTCCAACACATCACAATACCCTATGAGGTAATTTGAAGTATTTTGTTGCCAGTCACACCAGCGAAACAATGCCCTGTGATGTCAGGAGTCATCGAGTGTTCCAAAGCTCCTCTCAGTGATCTATTATCTCCTCGATCACAGAATGTCATTGAATAAGCCCAGCGATGCTGAGTGAGTGAGTGAGTATGGCTTTACGCCGCTTTTTAGCAATATTCCAGCAATATCACGGCGGGGGACACCAGAAATCAGCGATGCTGAGAGTTTTGAATATTTGTTTACTAAATGAAACATGCGACAGCACATTTTTTACAGCAAGTGCTAGTTTATGAAATCACTTTTACCGGTATTTTCAATATAGTTTTTATTAATTCAAGTGGCTAAAATCATTATACCAGTAAATGGAAACTAATAAACATGTTATTTTTTAGATTCATTAATTTTCCTTTTTATGCACAGAATGTGGTTTATTAGTTATATTATATTGGTGCTGAACACATCCAAATGTCGCCAGTGTTAATGTAGGTACCCATAACTCCATCCTTAACCTCTATGATCATTTAGGGTTACGTACCTGTTTAGAAACTATGAAATTACTCAAACTTCATCATTAACCCTTGGATCCCCTTTTGCGATCAATCAACCCTTGCTTTATGATCATTAGAGTTAGGTACCCATTTAGTGGCTATCATTGATTTTATAGCAGCCCCTAATATTCTTCTCACAAAAACACTGAGAAAGCAGGATGAAGAATGGTTTAGAATTGAATATTTTGGCTGCTGGAAACATTCACACAAGCCACTTTCACTCGTTACATTTATTCAGTAATGATTCAAAAGCGGACTCACCCTTGTGGCATCACTAGCCATGCTTTTACCTCCCTTGTTCCCTACTATGGTCCACATCCTTGCAGTGTTCCCTACCACACGTTTCTGTCACAGAAATCACACAATGAATTATTAAATACCATGTCTTCATGCATACCCGCGAGTTCGACTTCTGACACCATTTTCAGTTGGTGCCATATCAGCTCATTCCTCACCACTCAGTATCTTGTAGATTACGGAACGGGTCGAATGTGCCAAATGGCATCGGGATCACTTTGAAGGGTCCTTAGACTAAAGTCACAAGACACCAAGCCTACCCGTAACCTTCGTCAGTGTCCATCACCTTTTCGACCCTTTTTCGTTCAGTTGCATAACATTCTAGGCATGAATAGGTAAATTTGCAGTTAGTTTCGGTGTAGACGTAGATCAGTTAGTTAGCTGTTGGGCTAACAATCCGAAAGTCTTGAGTTTGTGTCCGACGGATTCTCATAAAAAAAAAAATGGTTGCTTGTCTTTGAGACACATGACCTACAGCAGAGAGTGTCCTCATGAAAAGTTGTGGTACTGTATTCGAAAGGTTCATGCACAGAAGTAGCCTCAAGTTCTAAACATGCTGTTATAGCATATACATGATACAGCATTTTAATGTAGTCTTGCATGTTTACAGCCGTCACATTTTACCACATGCCCCCAAAAGTCATGAAAAGGCCCACAATTTTCAAGGACACCTAATTAAAATCCAAGGTTTATCACTGTTAATTGGTAGTTCTTCTGACCAGAATCTCCACTGGGGACAAGGAAAACAGCCTGTTGGTGCTGAGAAAAGTGACCCACACAACAAAGAAAAAAAGTTTGATTTATTCACTGGTACAGAAGCATAGCAAAAAAAAAGTGACATGGAAAAATTTAGTAAAAACTAAATATATTTTACAATTGTATACTTATCCTGTATTATCCCTTAATGCATTTACTGCTGTTTTGGGACAGAAAGACGAAGCTGTGAGAGGTCCAGCTGAAGAAGAAGTTCCAACCAGTTGTGTGGTAGCACTCTCACACAGCTGCCACATGACCCAGAAGTGTTGACGTCACATTACTGCTTTAAAGAGTTTGTCAGGGAAATAGCACTGTCATGGGAGGGGTACTTTGACGAAGTAATGCAGGATAAGAATACAAATGTAAAAGATACTTATATTTTACTAAATTTTGTAACTTATCCAGCATTACTCCTTAAAGGGCAAGTTCACACGGAAATGAACCTATTTTTCTTGTACTTTTTCCACATTAAAAGTGTTAACATAGACATGATAGAAGTGTCATAGACAAAAATATAAAAATATCACAATTAATTAACATATTTTTCGCATTAAAACGATTTATATTTTTCACATTTACCAAGTGTTCTATTTCCACAACAAAAACACCATGGCTTATGCCCCTTGCAATATGACGTCATTGGTGCCAATTGATAAACATTATGACGTCATCATGCTTTGTTAGAGCCGCTTCACGTGGTGTAGGTCCAGGTGTGTGATTCTAGCGTCTCAGATGCCAGCCAGCATAGTGTTATGCTGAGTCACCACTGCGCCGGAGTGTGTCGTAGGCCATGTTGTTTTACCGCAAACTGGTACTTAATATCTTTTGCATTGAGAATAGACAGGGACCCAGTTGAATTGGCACCAATTACGTCATAATCTAAGGGGGATAACTCAGGCCTGTTTAGCTCGAAAAACGAAGGCCTCATAACGGCATATCATTTTCACACTATTGTGAGCTTCCTACGTTCACTGTGAAAAAAAAAGAGTGTATATTTTCAAACACAGATACTAATTAATTCTAAAATTGCGTTTTGTTTAGAAAAAGAAAGAAAGTGATTTTTGCGTGTACACTTCCCCTTTAATGCATCTTTATCAGACGGTGCAGGCCTAACTTCAGATCTGATCCTCAAGAGACCCTCGTCAAAATGTCCAAGGAACCATCACCTTGCAATGACCACAACCATGTGACCATTCTTGTCAGATAGAAACAAGAGTGTGGGAGATGCAGGATGTTAGGTAACAGTACAGTAATAGAAGAAAGTGTGACCTAAGGTCTAAAATTGACGTACCAAGCTCATGCCAGTAGCATGTAAACCCTATAGTCTGGTGTGACGAGCACCAGAGAGGTCAAAAGGTCAGCTCAGGGCCAGTTATGAAATCCTGTCACAGACCAAGATGACACTGTGCGTCCTGCACTTAAACTGGACAAGGGTGATGTAGAGCGTTGACCCTTGCCGCAGCAGCCAGACTAAAGAGGAAGACTGAATAGCATTAGGTCAGTTGACCTATTTCAGATCGGAGATGTTTACAGTCAGAGAGGCCTAAAAACTTGACATTTAAATCACCCTGCTCAGTAGCCTAGAATCCCCTATTTAGCCAGCGATGAGGTTCAAGCTCCATACTCATACAATCCCCTGTGAACTGGGTGGTAGACAGACAAGTGGTGTTCGAGATCTGAGAAGAATGTGTGATGTTGCCTGTGAAGGAGCAAAATGATCACTATGATATTTGAGACACCTCCTGAGCTGTCAACGATGATCCCGAGAGGTGGGTACCTGGTAGCCTATGATGAATTTGTCAAATGGCTAAACGATCTTGAATAGTGATGATTTATAAGTTCTGGTACAGATGATGTCTACCAGAAGCCACGTAATCCAAGTTTAACCAGAGTACTATCGCCCTCTTGTGGACCATGAGGTCAGGCTGACAAAGGGCTTTAGGGAAAAGGTGGACCTCCGTTTGTATGGAAGTCAAAAGTGTGTCTTGAATCTTGATAGTGTTGGCTTAGACATTAGGTGGAGATCCTCATCCCTGGTGTGTGTCCTGTCCACCACCTCCAAAGCATAGATGGGCAAAGCATCCTTCCTAAGCTAAGGAATCTTGAACACCGATGATATCGCAAAATCTTTGTCCAATGGTGAGACCAGATCCTTCAGCATCGTTCCGGTGGAATGGAAGTGGTCTTGGACGAAATTAGTGTCCTGTTTATCCATGTCTGGGCCGGGTGATAGAGTAATGGCAGCCTAACATGACTGATTAATGAGCAGACCAGTACTTGGTTTAGCCCCTCAATGACAGTCAAGGTGACAAGAAGTACTGATTACATGGCCGGGGTTCAACCCCCAGATGCTCTACCACTAGACCACGAAATAGGGTCCTTAATCCAGTCAGGGACTTGGTTAAGGCTTAGATGAGTGTACTTAGATCCGTTGTACCGAGGGGAGTCCATATCATCTGCACACATTATTAGGGGCGCTACCTGTATATTGTATCAGGTGTCGAATGCACAGGGGGCATCGTGGGCAACATACACGGAAGCGCCAGGAGGTGCTGAGGTGCTGTTGTCGCGACCGGCACCTGCTGTAAGGACAGCTGGTGTTTTAGCTGGAAGGCCGGGAAAAGGTTCCGAAACCCTGGAAGCATGTAGGAGCATTGACATGAGGGTGGTCGTCGATACCAGAGGAGGTACAAGCGCTGGAGCGGAGATGGGCATCGTCATCGTCATCGGATTCATCAGCGAAGTCTAGAGAACCGTTGGTGAAGTGGAGGGTTGCTGTATCTCAGCCGCAGTAGCCTGCATATTAAAGAGAGAAAGAGCCAAGCATCTTAGGGTGTCTGAGCGCCCACTGCAAACACTGTTTCTTAGATACCCTTGGATAATTGGAGAAGGCTTGAGGAGTGAGAGGGCGGCAGAAACAGCACTGAGATGTTTTCGAGCAGGGGTCCGTGCAGTCCAAACACAATGGTTGGGGATCCCTGCCAGACTTGTTACCGTGGCAAGTAATACAACAAGGAATAAATCTATAAGTCGTGTTCATAATGCGTGCAACAGAACAATGAAAACAGGAAGGCAATTTGTAACTCCAAAACACATTGGTTAAATGAGAAAATTACGCAAAAGAAAGTGCAAACAAACATTTAAACCCGCGAAGAGTTTAGGCAATATACATGAAACTATTACCAAGCTATAAACGGTAATTCAAGACATACGGCACGAGAACGTGACCATGTGGATAATTCAAAAAGGCAGATTGGAACAATTACCGTGACAGAGCCACAAACGAACGTGAATGTAAGACAAATTACGTATGGATAAGACCAAAAAGGCACAAGCCTGCCATGAACAACAGCACAATAGCAAGAGAAAACGATGCATTAATAAGAAGCAAAGAAGGCTGGAAAACTGCACAAAACACTGTCTGTCTGCGTTGAGTGACAATGCAGTAATGTTCTCTTATGTGACGTCCCCATCTGGGTCACGTGGCAGCTGTGTGAGGGTCCTGCCAGACAACTGGTTGGAACAACTTCTGCAGCTGGACCTCTCACAGCTTTGTCTTTCTGTCAAAACAGCAGTAAATGCAATGAGTAATGCAAAATAAGTTAAAGATTTGAATTTTTATCCACAATCTCATATATGTTTGAAATTAAGTCATGAATAAATTGGCATGACATCTATGAATAACCATGATAACTGAATAATGTTTTTCTTATCACAGTTGTAACCTTTAGCTGTTTATATAGACAGCTAATAGATATCAGATAATTCTAACAAGCAATATATATATATATTGTTCAACAAAAATATAAACATTTTGGTTATACCTAAACATGAACAAAATTTTGTTCACAAAGAAACACCCAAGTATCTTGAAAAATGCACTAGAGATTCACCAATAAGAACCTAATAGAATACCTAGAATACAAGTCAACATGTAAGGTATGAATACACATTGCCATTTAGAAAGTTGGGATAAAACTTTCTTAGTAAAGTCCCATCCGGGATTTGAACCCACACTCCCAGAGTGAGGCACCTAATCACCAGCACACAATACCCCCTGTAGCATGGAAGCCTCAGTGACTGAGTGGGTTAAATCTCTGACTTTGTGTGCTGGCGATTAGGTAACTCCCTCTTGGAGTGTGGGTTCAAAATCCCAGATGGGACTCAACCCCCCAAAAAGTACTAGAATCTACACTTTACTAAGAAAGTGTTATCCCATAACATTTGTAACATGTAAGGTGTCTGATAAAAGGGGTGCGCGCATCCCTGCACCCTCCCTCTGGATCCGCGACTGTATGCAAACTTTGATTTCTTTTAGGGGAAAATTAACCTCAAATCAACTCTATTTACATTGCTTCTTCCCTTCTGGCATGTTGACCAACACAGATAATCTGAGAAACATCCACAACTATCCAGTGTTTACAATCTCCATTTTATTCTGATAAATACCCTGACCCATTTGCCACAATACCTTTGTCACAAATCCAAGTCACATCTTACAGTGCTACAAACAGACATCCTATCAAACTACACTGTTCCTTCATGATTGAAACAAGCAGCAGTATTACCAGTACTTGACTTTTGTGTATCATAAACAGGACTTCCCTGACTGTTATACTTATAGTACTCGGGTAACTATCTCTTCCAGCTGACAACAATCAGGTTTCATGATATGAGGTATGCTTATACGAGCCCAAATAGTTCTTGCAATGCTTCAGTGAATTGTGACAACCCTAGTATTTATGTAAATGTACAACAAATTATGACTTTTAAGAGTCAAAGTATGGCATCTATGATATATGTATCCATGCTCTGTCAAATAAAGTTTGTTTCAAGGCGTCAATAGCGGTAATCTGACCGTGGTTGCTGTAAATAACATTGAGTTGTGCAATCTACCAATTACTTCACACACAATTTAGCCAAATTTTAATTTAAACTCATAAATCCAAATATACAATGAACACTTTTTATAACCAGACAGTATAATTACATGATTAATTTAGGTTCTTCAGTATGAATTTGTTGACATTGTATTTCCGGTGTTACATACTCACAGGAATGTCTTTGAGTTTGGGGGAAAATACCACTAAAACTCATTATGGTGTGTATGATGCGCACCCCCTTCTACACAGCTGTGTGTTTTGGGAAAAAAAAGTGTGCACTATACACAAGAAAATATGGCATATCAAATTATCCAGAACATTTATATACAATAGCACTATACAGGGAGATTCTAGATTAGAGGCGACTAAATGAAACTATGTACACATCGAAGTAAGCAGTTTGTAACAAGGTTTACTCAAACGCTGGCATTTCTAGGCCACTTCCATGAAGAATTATGACTGGTATCACAATCAATATTATTGCATGACTGGACTGAAAAGAGCAGAACTTGGTCCTTGTTATCGCTTTTTACGGCAGGCCAAAAGAACTGTGAACAATGTGACACAGCATGTACAGGTATTGAAAGTACTTCTGGAAAACTACACTGACAATACATTCTGGAATGTCTACTGAGATGAAACAAGAGATTGAGATTCAAAACCTCTTTCAACAAAATTTGAGTAGGGGTTCAACTGTGTTGGGGGTAGCAGGGGCTCAACTCATGGTGGGGGTATCAGTGGCTCAACTATGTTGGGGGTAGCAGGGGCTCAACTCATGGTGGCAGTAGCAGGGGCTTAACTATGTTGGGGGTAGCAGTGGCTGAACTATGTAGGGGGTAGCAGTAGCTCAACTCATGGTGGGGGTAGCAGTAGCTCAACTCATGGTGGGGGTAGCAGGGGCTCAACTCATGGTGACAGTAGCAGTGGCTCAACTATGTTGGGGGTAGCAGGGGCTCAACTCATGGTGGCAGTAGCAGTGGCTTAACTATGTTGGGGGTATCAGTGGCTCAACTATGTTGGGGGTAGCAGTAGCTCAACTCATGGTGGGGGTGGCAGTAGCTCAACTATGTTGGGGGTAGCAGAAGCTCAAACCATTGGTGGGGGTAGCAGTGGCTCAATTGTGTTGGGGGTAGCAGTGGCACAACTATGTTGGGGGTAGCAGTGGCTCAACTATGTTGGGGGTAGCAGTAGCTCAACTGTGTTGGGGGTAGCAGTGGCTCAACTATGTTGGGGGTAGCAGTAGCTCAAACCATTGGTGGGGGTAGCAGTGGTTAACTGTTATGGGGGTAGCAGGGGCTCGACTCATGGTGGCTGTAGCAGTAGCTCAACTCATGGTGGCAGTAGCTCAACTCATCGTGGCTGTAGCAGTAGCTCAACTATGTTGGGGGTAGCAGGGGCTTAACTATGTTGGGGGTAGCAGTAGCTCAACTGTGTTGGGGGTAGCAGTGGCTCAACTATGTTGGGGGTAGCAGTAGCTCAACTGTGTTGGGGGTAGCAGTGGCTCAACTATGTTGGGGGTAGCAGTAGCTCAACTATGTTGGGGGTAGCAGAAGCTCAAACCATTGGTGGGGGTAGCAGTGGCTCAATTGTGTTGGGGGTAGCAGTGGCTCAACTATGTTGGGGGTAGCAGGGGCTCAACTCATGGTGGCAGTAGCAGTGGCTTAACTATGTTGGGGGTATCAGTGGCTCAACTATGTTGGGGGTAGCAGTAGCTCAACTCATGGTGGGGGTGGCAGTAGCTCAACTATGTTGGGGGTAGCAGAAGCTCAAACCATTGGTGGGGGTAGCAGTGGCTCAATTGTGTTGGGGGTAGCAGTGGCTCAACTATGTTGGGGGTAGCAGTAGCTCAAACCATTGGTGGGGGTAGCAGTGGCACAACTATGTTGGGGGTAGCAGTGGCTCAACTATGTTGGGGGTAGCAGTAGCTCAACTGTGTTGGGGGTAGCAGTAGCTCAACTGTGTTGGGGGTAGCAGTGGCTCAACTATGTTGGGGGTAGCAGTAGCTCAACTGTGTTGGGGGTAGCAGTGGCTCAACTATGTTGGGGGTAGCAGTAGCTCAACTATGTTGGGGGTAGCAGAAGCTCAAACCATTGGTGGGGGTAGCAGTGGCTCAATTGTGTTGGGGGTAGCAGTGGCTCAACTATGTTGGGGGTAGCAGTAGCTCAAACCATTGGTGGGGGTAGCAGTGGTTAACTGTTTTGGGGCTAGCAGGGGCTCGACTCATGGTGGCTGTAGCAGTAGCTCAACTATGTTGGGGGTAGCAGTAGCTCAACTGTGTTGGGGGTAGCAGTGGCACAACTATGTTGGGGGTAGCAGTAGCTCAACTGTGTTGGGGGTAGCAGTGGCTCAACTGTGTTGGGGGTAGCAGTAGCTCAACTCATGGTGGGGGTAGCAGTGGCTCAACTATGTTGGGGGTAGCAGTAGCTCAACTGTGTTGGGGGTAGCAGTGGCACAACTATGTTTGGGGTAGCAGTAGCTCAACTGTGTTGGGGGTAGCAGTGGCTCAACTGTGTTGAGGGTAGCAGTATCTCAACTATGTTGGGGGTAGCAGTGGCTCAACTGTGTTGGGGGTAGCAGTAGCTCAACTCATGGTGGGGGTAGCAGTGGCTCAACTATGTTGGGGGTAGCAGTAGCTCAACTGTGTTGGGGGTAGCAGTAGCTCAACTGTGTTGGGGGTAGCAGTGGCACAACTATGTTGGGGGTAGCAGTGGCTCAACTATGTTAGGGGGAGCAGTAGCTCAACTCATGGTGGGGGTAGCAGGGGCTCAACTCATGGTGACAGTAGCAGGGGCTTAACTATGTTGGGGGTAGCAGTGGCTCAACTATGTTGGGGGTAGCAGTAGCTCAACTATGTTGGGGGTAGCAGTAGCTCAACTATGTTGGGGGTAGCAGTGGCTCAACTGTGTTGGGGGTAGCAGTAGCTCAACTCATGGTGGGGGTAGCAGTGGCTCAACTATGTTGGGGGTAGCAGTAGCTCAACTGTGTTGGGGGTAGCAGTAGCTCAACTGTGTTGGGGGTAGCAGTGGCACAACTATGTTGGGGGTAGCAGTGGCTCAACTATGTTAGGGGGAGCAGTAGCTCAACTCATGGTGGGGGTAGCAGGGGCTCAACTCATGGTGACAGTAGCAGGGGCTTAACTATGTTGGGGGTAGCAGTGGCTCAACTATGTTGGGGGTAGCAGTAGCTCAACTATGTTGGGGGTAGCAGTAGCTCAACTATGTTGGGGGTAGCAGTGGCACAACTATGTTGGGGGTAGCAGTGGCACAACTGTGTTGGGGGTAGCAGTAGCTCAACTATGGTGGGGGTAGCAGTGGCTCAACTCATGGTGGGGGTAGCAGTGGCTCAATTGTGTTGAGGGTAGCAGGGGCTCGACTCATGGTGGCAGTAGCAGGGGCTTAACTGTGTTGGGGGTAGCAGTGGCTCAACTATGTTGGGGGTAGCAGTGGCACAACTATGTTGGGGGTAGCAGTAGCTCAAACCACTGGTGGGGGTAGCAGTGGCTCAGCTATGTTGGGGGTAGCAGGGGCTCAACTCATGGTGGAGGCAGTGGAGGAAACATTAATTCCCAAACACTTTGTCTCTGTTAGCTTTAAAATATGCCAATCTGAATACTTTTTCGATCTGTGAGCGGTGCTCTTTCATTTTGCTGGAAAGGAAGCTGGTCAGCTGCAGATTGGCATCAGTGGAAGCCGATGGGAATTTGAAGCAGCCAACATCATAGCTGTCAACAACACGATCTTCGACCTTGGTAATGATGCGTAGACAACCTGTGAGCTTGGCATCCTTGATGTCCAGGTTGTACAGTTGGAGACACAGCAACACGTCCTTCACATCCAGCAGGGGAACACACACAGGAGGAGGGTTCCTCACTGGAAATGGACAACCACTTCAGTATCAGTAACCATGGTAACAGCTTTTTATTCATAATGTGTCCAACTACAACAGTGTCTGCGGCAAAGTACCTCGATGTGAAATCATTTTCGTGATCCCTAAAGTGAATGTTGTTTATTGATGCAGTCTTCAACATTCCAGCCATATAACACCTAACCAGTGACCGAAAGTATATCCAATAAACCATGCCATACAGTCACTATGACAATGAATAAACCATGCCATACAGTCACTATGACAATGAATAAACCATGCCATACAGTCACTATGACAATGAATAAACCATGCCATACAGTCATGATGACAGTGAATAAACCAGGTCATGAAGCACGACCTCCTATCCATCTAAGTTGACTCTCATGACAAGCATAGGATATTATGGAAAAATTCCCAATGGAGCTGTGAGAATATCACAATTCTTAGCTATCCTTTGCAACACACTGACTCACATTCATTCATGTTTCATAGTGTTACATAACAACAGACTGTCTCACACAATCCACCACTCTCCATGACAACAGACTGACGTTCAAGCATTTCTGAAACCGAACACAAGTACTGTCATCAGACCATGCAGACAGGACTCACCAGAGACTGTCTTGTTGAAGTAGATTTTCTTGTCCACGGAGAAGCTGATGGCTACAGTGGACTGCTGGGGTTCGAATGTCAGGTTTGCACACACTGGGGAATGAAACGGTTTCTTTATTACAACACCTATTCGTATAACAAAGTCTTGCTCGTCCATAATTAATTACATTTTCAAATATTTCATAGAGACCTGCAAATAATCGTGCAAGCAGCAACTCTCTTTTCTTATCAATCACTAATTATTAATTGGTATTTTATGGTGAACTTCACTACAAAGAGACATCTACATTATTTACTAGTGTAGTGTGGACTTTACCCTAAAAGAAATACAGTTGTGTAGAGGGATGTGTGCATAATTTATTATTCAATTCATATAATTTTCACTCAATTGCGTATTTTCTTGAGTATAGTGCACACTTTTTTCCAAAAAACACAGCTGTGTAGAAGGGGGTGCGCATTATACACGAATTAATGAATTTTGATGTTTTTTCCCCCATGAAAAGACATTAACCTGAGTATGTAACAAAGGAAATACAATGTCAACAAATTCATACTGAAGTACACAAATTAGTCATGTAATTACACTGTCTGGCTATAAAAAGTGTTCTTAACGCGTTATTAACAGCAATCATGGTCAGATTACCGCCAATGGAGTACTCACCTGTGTTGTGAAGGCTGATGGTGTACTCACCTGTGTTGTGAAGGCTGATTGTGTACTCACCATGTTGTGAAGGCTGATTGTGTACTCACCATGTTGTGAAGGCTGATGGTGTACTCACCATGTTGTGAAGGCCAATGGTGTACCCACCATGTTGTGAAGGCTGATGGTGTACTCACCATGTTGTGAAGGCCAATGGTGTACCCACCATGTTGTGAAGGCTGATGGTATACCAACCATGTTGTAAAGGTTGATGGTGTACTCACCATGTTGTGAAGGCTGATGGTGTACTCACCATGTTGTGAAGGCCAATGGTGTACTCACCTGTGTTGTGAAGGCCAATGGTGTACTCACCTGTGTTGTGAAGGCCAATGGTGTACTCACCTGTGTTGTGAAGGCCAATGGTCTACTCATCTGTGTTGTAAAGGCCAATGGTGTACTCACCATGTTGTGAAGGCCAATGGTGTACTCACCATGTTGTGAAGGCCAATGGTGTACCCACCATGTTGTGAAGGCCAATGGTGTACTCACCTATGTTGTAAAGGCCAATGGTGTACCCACCATGCTGTGAAGGCTGATGGTGTACTCACCATGTTGTAAAGGCTGATGGTGTACCCACCATGTTGTGAAGGCCAATGGTGTACTCACCTGTGTTGTGAAGGCTGATGGTGTACTCACCATGTTGTGAAGGCCAAAGGTGTACTCACCTGTGTTGTTAAGGCCAATGGTGTACCCCCCATGTTGTGAAGGCTGATGGTGTACCCACCATGTTGTGAAGGCTGATGGTGTACTCACCATGTTGTGAAGGCCAATGGTGTACCCATCATGTTGTGAAGGCTGATGGTGTACCCACCATGTTGTGAAGGCCAATGGTGTACTCACCTGTGTTGTGAAGACCAATGGTCTACTCATCTGTGTTGTGAAGGCTGATGGTGTACTCACCATGTTTTGAAGGCTGATGGTGTACTCACCATGTTGTGAAGGCTGATGGTGTACTCACCATGTTGTGAAGGCCAATGGTGTACTCACCTGTGTTGTGAAGGCCAATGGTGTACTCACCTGTGTTGTGAAGGCTGATGCTGTACCCACCATGTTGTGAAGGCTGATGGTCTACTCATCTGTGTTGTGAAGGCTGATGGTGTACTCACCATGTTGTGAAGGCCAATGGTGTACCCACCATGTTGTGAAGGCTGATGGTGTACCCACCATGTTGTGAAGGCTGATGGTGTACTCACCATGTTGTGAAGGCCAATGGTGTACCCACCATGTTGTGAAGGCTGATGGTGTACCCACCATGTTGTGAAGGCCAATGGTCTATTCGTCTGTGTTGTGAAGGCTGATGGTGTACCCACTATGTTGTGAAGGCTGATGGTGTACTCACCATGTTGTGAAGGCCAATGGTGTACCCACCATGTTGTGAAGGCTGATGGTGTACCCACCATGTTGTGAAGGCCAATGGTCTATTCGTCTGTGTTGTGAAGGCTGATGGTGTACTCACCTGTGTTGTGAAGGCCAATGGTGTACTCACCATGTTGTGAAGGCTGATGGTGTACCCACCATGTTGTGAAGGCTGATGGTGTACTCACCATGTTGTGAAGGCCAATGGTGTACCCACCATGTTGTGAAGGCTGATGGTGTACCCACCATGTTGTGAAGGCCAATGGTCTATTCGTCTGTGTTGTGAAGGCTGATGGTGTACCCACCATGTTGTGAAGGCTGATGGTGTACTCACCATGTTGTGAAGGCCAATGGTGTTCCCACCATGTTGTGAAGGCTGATGGTGTACCCACCATGGTGTGAAGGCCAAAGGTGTACTCACCTGTGTTGTGAAGGCCAATGGTGTACTCACCATGTTGTGAAGGCTGATGGTGCACCCACCATGTTGTGAAGGCTGATGGTGTATTCACCATGTTGTGAAGGCCAATGGTGTACCCACCATGTTGTGAAGGCTGATGGTGTACTCACCTGTGTTGTGAAGGCCAATGGTGTACCCACCATGTTGTGAAGGCTGATGGTGTACTCACCTGTGTTGTGAAGGCCAATGGTGTACTCACCATGTTGTGAAGGCTGATGGTGTACTCACCTGTGTTGTGAAGGCCAATGGTGTACTCACCATGTTGTGAAGGCTGATGGTGTACCCACCATGTTGTGAAGGCTGATGGTGTACTCACCATGTTGTGAAGGCTGATGGTGTACTCACCTGTGTTGTGAAGGCCAATGGTGTACCCACCATGTTGTGAAGGCTGATGGTGTACCCACCTGTGTTGTGAAGGCTGATGGTGTACTCACCTGTGTTGTGAAGGCCAATGGTGTACCCACCATGTTGTGAAGGCTGATGGTGTACTCACCTGTGTTGTGAAGGCTGATGGTGTACTCACCATGTTGTGAAGGCCAATGGTGTACCCACCATGTTGTGAAGGCTGATGGTGTACCCACCTGTGTTGTGAAGGCTGATGGTGTACTCACCATGTTGTGAAGGCCGATGGTGTACCCACCATGTTGTGAAGGCCAATGGTGTACCCACCATGTTGTGAAGGCTGATGGTGTACCCACCTTTGTTGTGAAGGCTGATGGTGTACTCACCATGTTGTGAAGGTCAATGGTGTACTCACCATGTTGTGAAGGCTGATGGTGTACCCACCTTTGTTGTGAAGGCTGATGGTGTACTCACCTGTGTTGTGAAGGCTGATGGTGTACTCACCTGTGTTGTGAAGGCTGATGGTGTACTCACCATGTTGTGAAGGCCAATGGTGTACTCACCTGTGTTATGAAAGGCCGATGGTGTACTCACCATGTTGTGAAAGCTAATGGTGTACTCACCTGTGTTGTGAAGGCTGATGGTGTACTCACCATGTTGTGAAGGCTGATGGTGTACTCACCATGTTGTGAAGGCCAATGGTGTACTCACCTGTGTTATGAAAGGCCGATGGTGCACTCACCATGTTGTGAAAGCTAATGTTGTACTCACCTGTGTTGTGAAGGCTGATGGTGTACTCACCTGTGTTGTGAAAGCTAATGGTGTACTCACCTGTGTTGTGAAGGCTGATGGTGTCTATCTCCATGTGAACACAACACCCACAGTCATAGTAAAGGCAGCTACACCCACTTCCTAGGGAGCCAGGGTACTTCTTTACCAGTTTCCTAGTCTCTGACTCTGACACAATATAATGTAAAAATATATTCATCAAATCACAAGTAAGTAATTCTGAAAACAAAAACTAATTATATTTGTGATGAGAAACATCTGAACATGCAGAAATAGACAGTCAACATAAAAATTAAAATCTTAACAAAACAAAAATTCTTTGGCTTAAAAACTAAGTGTCTTTGTCAATAATCTCTGAATGAGAATATGGTGTGAATGTACCCAAAAAGATAAATCAAACAGAAACAGTTCAATAAGCATGATAAGAAACCTATTTCCTTTTGTTTGTAAAGGCCACTCTCATGAAGGGACACAAAGGGGTAATGTATTGTGAATCTGACAGTACAGAATTCACACTCTGATCAGCTTAGGAGGTGGTATAAATTAGATTGTCTGGTCAACAAGGGTAGATGGGACACATATTCATCTAGCATATTCTTACCATCAAACCTGTTCTGGTGGCCATCTTGGATATTCCTTGTCCCTAACATGGCCAGGGCATGGTTTCCTCCCGGTGGAATCTTAAAACAGCCAAGATCAAATGACTCAACAATAACTGTTGCCAACTGGGCCAAAACACGAACACACCCACTGAAGGTACGCTGCTGGATGTCGAGTTTGTAGAACTTAATACAGATGCTGGCATACTTCTTGAGGTACGGCACAGCAACACAGATAGGAGGAGGGTTCCTCGCTGAAACAAGATAGGTGTGAGGAGTTAGTGAGTGTGACTTAACATCACTTTGAATACCAGGCCTCGATTTAAGGAACTTGATTTAACTTGCACCAGGCACATGTTGACATGAAAAGCTAGCGGCACTTGACATTACCAGGTTGCACCCTGGTCCCATAATTTTATCAAAGTTGAAACAAAGATGCTTAAAACTAGTATAAATAAGATCCATACAATTTCCGAACTCTGGTGACTGTCATGAATTACAAAGAACACAGTAATTAGTGATTTACTATGGTAAGTAAAGCTTAGAGGTATTGAATGTGTTCAAAGACTGTTGTTGTGTGGAAAGTAAGGGTTAGTCAGACACAAATATTGTAAATTTTACAATGGTATATTTATAATACTGATCCTATCTCACACTATGCATTTCTTCCTTCTTTCAATCCTATGTGGAAATGTTTCCAGCTTCTAAAAATCAATTCACCCTAACACATCCCAGCATCACCATGGTTACCCCGCAAACAAATCCGTCACGCACTATAATTCTGTGCATAGCGACCTACACAAAACAATCAAGTGATTGCCTCTGCCACATCCTTCTCTTTCACAGACCTAACAGGCTAGAGGAGCTGTGATGCAGGGATGAGGGCATATTGTGTGTGAGATGGGACGAGTATCATAAATATACAATTTTATGTAAAATTTTAATTTTTGTTATCTTATCCTATCTCATGGTTTGATGGTGGGGTGCAGATACCCTTGCCTATAGTAGACTACAACTGTGAGACATATACAAATAAGCTCGTGCAAAATAGTGAAATAAACAATCTATAACAATGCCTTGACAAAAAACTTGTGAGCGGGAAAAATACTCCAACACAGGTGATATGATCCCAATATGTTAGTCGGATATAGCAGCATGAATTCAGTAGATCATGCCTAGCATGAATGACCACTTAGCTGTAAAGAATAATCGATACAGCTTGCAACTTACAATTTATCTGGAAGGGGTCATCAGTCAATCGAATCGACAAGACAGGAACGGGACACAGCACTATCTCTCATGGTCAATAGAGTGTGCCTGTGCAGTATCGTATTTTATTTCGCCAAAGCTATCAAAACCGCTCAGGGAATTGTAGCATGCTAAGATGACAAGAGGAACGATCGACAATATCCACAAAAAGATCTTTGAATCAAAACCAGGCCGCACATGCATGAAAAAGGGTACTGAGAACTGTCTTTCTTTTTACCAGTAAAATTAGTCTTGGACCGGTAATTCATGTGACTGTCCCTGTGGAGCTACAGGAAGTATCTTATAAATCTTTCTTGTTGAACAAAAGATCGGTAAGATATAAAAGTATATTTATCAAACAAAGTCAGCTTGTCTGTTATCATCAGGGTTTACTGTTGTCTATTTTTACTGCAAGAAAATAACATTTCGCTTTGCTATGAGGTTAAAATATTTATTTGTAGCGACTTTGTCTTGAACATGTTGAACCAAAGTGAAATATTTCAAACCATGCGCTCCAAGATTATACAACATGGCACCATCAAAGCAGTTGAAGCTTTTAAGTTTTTTAACCCTAGAATTCCGGCAAACATACAAATCATGAATTAGAAAAGTGATCCAGTGATAGCACTGTGATAGCGGGGATGACAAAAGGCCCAAAACTGCTACAAACCGTAAAACAACAAAACATCAGAACATTTCAAGATGACTGGTTGAATGAATTGTGTGGCAGCAGAGAAATTGAATGGGTTCACCAGGGGTGCATTAACATGCAAAAATCGGCTATAAAAGAGCACATCAAAAACAGCATCACGGTGACTGTTGCTGTCTCTAAAAACGTCATGGATGGTCACATGTCCGTAGCTAAAGAAAAAACAGATGACAACCTAACCGTGATGATGAAATTGTGTTATATATGACAAAAGAGACTATTGAATTGCCGAAAAGGGATGGCTGATCTTCTTTATCGGGGGCTGTATACATGGTATACACCCATAGCACATCATTGAAGAAATGGAAGAGAAATTACCGAATCTACCATAGAACACTTGAAACAGAAACTTTCAGATAGCAACTGTATCAGTCTGATTATTGACTAAACTGTCATAATATGGTACTTGTATTGTAACTGGTGGCAAAGCAAACAATATTTCTTGGAAACTATACCGTTCATGGGGGAACGGAAGAAATAATAACTACTTCATTTAATGAAAGAATGGAGTATGCCAATGAACTAAATATTTGGTTTGGGATCAGATGGAGCCAGTGTTATGACCAGCAGCAGAAGTGGTGTTTGTGTGAGACTTAAGACAAGTGATTGTCTGTGCTTAGTGCATTTACACGGCATTGCACATCGTGTTCGCATATCGGATTCCCGTACATCAATGACGTGTATTAACTGTACCAGTATTCTGCGACACAGTATGACAGATTAAAAGAACTTTCTAAAACTTTGGATGACACAAATATTATTCTCCAGTGTCAACAGCCCTGTACTGAAATTTAAATTGAGGCAGCCAAGCGTAACAACACAGTGGCGGTAAATCTCGCAACAACTGAAATTGTTTTCGTTTGTTGCGACTATGTACATGTTGTCTGACATTCTGCCGTACATGGAAAAACTTGTCACAGTCTTCCAAAAAGGACAAGCTGAACCTATCTATGATACAACCTATGGTAGAGTTAACCATTGGAAGCCTCCAAGCCTTATTAGATGAGACTGATAAACATGAAAAGTATTTGAATGAGAATGTAGTCGATGACAAATTTCGTGGTGTCAAGTTGGCATTGGCTCATCCCATATCTGTCATCGCCTTTCAAGCCAAACAAGTGGGTTTTATAGAAGATTTTATTCAATCATTACGCAATCGTTATCATCGCGAGTGTCTTGCAGTCACTGGACATCATTCTGAATTCCTTAAAGTACAATGAACACCTCAAGACATCACTGTGCACGGAGGGGAATCCTTTGACATACTTCCATTGGTCCAAACGATAATGACACAGCACACTTACTAGACCCAGATTGTTCCAAAAGAGATTTTAAGCATTTCAAGCAAGGTGTAGCTGGTCTTGGACCTGTTACTTTTGCGAACATATGGCAGGTCTTTATCAACAAATATGTGGAGGATGACATTGAGATCCCAAGGAGGTGGCCGGAAATGAGATGACTGGTACAGCAACTTGTAGGAACTGAAGCTCAGCAACTGAAGCCATCTTCGATCCAGTGTACTAGCAATGACTGAGCTGATCGCAGCAAGGTAAGTAGCAAAAGTAGACCCATAAAGCTTCTGGTAGATCGTAAATGATGGGGGTAATTAGGGATCTGTTGCGGAGAAGCAGTGGTGGGTGTGGTGATGTGACAAGCGCGACAGTAGACTTCAAATGCTTTCCACTTTCGGTCGTAGAGGGTCTTCGTAGAGGAATGATGAGCTTCTGTGATGGTCTTTGCTACTCACTTGGAATACCCTTTGACAACAAGTGACCTCTGTCCGTGTCACGCTGAGGCAGAAGGTTGTCCGGATAAGAATGAACTATCTGCAAGTTGGACCAACTTGGCGAACCAACTCTGAGTGGTGTGATGAACTGGAGTCATTGAGTGGGAGTCATCTCAGACTTGCTTATGTTGCCCTCGAGATGGTGCACAAGGATGACTGCCTAAATGCAGTCATCTATCTAGGACTCGAACACGATCCCTTGGATGTGCAGGAACTTTGTGGTGGGCTCGGTAAGACGGGCAAAGTGCCATGGGACCGTATAAATTCCAAATAGGAGCACCTTCCATTGGTAGTGGTGGAAGAAAGAAATGGAGGTGCTCCCTGTGGAGGGGATGTCAGCCCGTTATTAATGTTAGCCCAGGGACTACCTGCCATGGCTTGTCTACAGTAGCTGATAATAAACTATGAACCTAGATTTATGTTAGTTCCACACTGACAAGGCAAAATAAAGATAGATGGTCATTTATGGAGTTAATATCGGTTCTTGCCGTTTGTTATTCTCTTGAAAATGTTTCATTATAAATTGTAAATTTCTCATTTCTCAATCGAGACTGTTCCAGGTCTTTCACGCGATTCTTCTTTATTCAGTACTATACAGGCCACAGGCCCTTTGTACCAATATGTATGACATACTGATAAAATATGTATTCTTTCTTCTTTACTGTGATACACACATTTAGCGATATTAAAAATGAGCTTTGTGTTAGTAGATAAAAGAATATTAAATCAAATGGACATTTGGGTGTAGATAATATTTTGAAGGAATATAGAGATGGCATACGTGAGTATATACAGGGCACACCAGCAGGAAATGAAACTCGTCTTCTATTAGGCTAAGTTTGCAAAATCTTTCTTCACGAGGGAAGTTAAGTTCTCCTCCAGTTTCTATTTCCAGCCAGTGTGCACTGCATCTAAACCTTGACATACATGGCCGGATTTTACTCACGGTTACACAATACAAACATTCTTCACATCTGCAAAGAGCAATAATAAAACTTGTATAATATCAGGATGTAACTGTACTCCATATAACTGCTCCTATTCAGTTGTGTGTACAATTTCATTTATGAATAATTGAAAAAAGAAGGGGCTTAAAACGCTACCTTGTCTAACGCCTAAATAACATTGAATTGGGTTGACAACAGGTTGTTCCTTCTGACACATGACTTGACATTACGATAAAATGACTTTAACATTTTGGACATCTTCATGCTGACATCGTGCTTTCCAAATACTTTCCACAAATAAGAACGACGAACAGAGTCAAATGCCTTTGAGAAGTCTATAAAGGCTACATATAGCTTACAACCAGACATACCTAAATATCTTCGAATAATAGCATTTAAAATAAATAGATTGTCAATTGTCGAGTGTCCTCGTCTAAAGCAAGATTGACATTCTGATATTTGGTCATACATATCTGCCCACAAAACTAATCTATTATTTAATATACTTGTGAACACTTTAGACAAAACACTCAATAAACGAATAGCTCTATAGTTATCTTTGATTAATCTTGAGCCTTTTTTGTGTAATGGGATAATAACACCTGTATCCCAATCTTTGGAAAAACACCACTATCAAAGATACAATGGAAGATTATCTCAACATGAGGGACAATGTTAGGTAGTGCAAATTTCAGGTATTCTGGGAGAATTTGTCCATACCAGGTGATTTAGAGGTTTTGAGAGAATTTATACTGTCGATAATTTCATCTTTAGTGAATGGGCCAATCAAGATGTCGTGGGAGATTTCCTTGCTTTATTAGATGTTCGGCTTCGTCGTTTAAGAAATCACTATCTTCTTCAATTGTAGATTGGTTAAATAAATGTTCAAAGTATTCCATCCATTCATTTGAATCTATGGGATTATAGTTACATTTCGCATTCTGCAAGTCCTTGATATTCTTCCAGAATGTCTTTGAATCAGTAGTTTGCTCCAGTGTGGTACGTTTACTGTTCATCTTACTGCAAATCTTCATTGTCTTTAGTTTTTTCTAAATTTGATAAGTGCACGACAGCGTTCGTGTTTCATTAACAGACAGTCATCATCATGCCACGGGTTTCTTGTTTTACAAATATGTTGATGATTGTTATTATTATTCCAAGGTTTTTTTAACATACCTACTGCTGAAAGAATTGCCTCTGTAAACGTTATACACTCTTGTCTATGTCAGTAAGAGCTTCTAAACTCGCTTTTCCAGATTCGTTGCAATTTCGGGCGATTCCATATTATGTATGAACTGTTCCTGCTTGTTATCCACCCAGGTGTATCGAACACGGCGGTCTGTTGATTGCGTTTCCGCGGAGCATTTTACCACAGGGTTGTCATAGTTACCATGGTTACAGGTAGATGTATTGAGTCACATCGAGGCACAACCTCAAAATCACATATATGATAAAAGAAGTCAGATGAGCATACAACATTATCTATGGTACTACAACTATTAGGGCTGACATAAGTGTACTCTCCTATTTGGTTATCCGCACCCAGTCTACCATTCACTATGTGAATGTCTAACACTTAACACAACTCAAGTAGGCTTGTTCCATACATGTTGACTACTTTATCGCAGGAATTTCTTGGTTGGCAGAACCTTGGAAAATAATCTGAGTAACACACATTATTATCAAGGAATGGGAAAATGCCATCTTCTAAATAATCTACTTTTTCGCGATTGGCAATCATACAATAAATCTTCTTTCTTCCTGTTTCAACCTTGCAAAGGTTGTTGCCCTTTGCCATTACCCTGTGCGGAAACATCCAGGAACAGATCAGTGTGGAGTGAGGGAGAAGAAGGTGAGTGTGTAATAGATCCCCCAGAGTCTCATCATACAGAGGGTGTCCAGCTTTGACACTAAATGTTGGAGCCCAGGTGTACGATTAAGTCTTGGATGTTGCTTGGTGCTGTTGAGGAAACTGCAGATATCTGGTCAGTATTTGCACCAACACCATGCCCCTTTCAGCTGAAGCATCTATGTTCCAGATGCTAACTTGTAGCCCTGACATCATGCATACAGGCATCAATCATGACTTACCGGAGACAGTATTGTTGTAGTACACAACCCCATCCACGCTGACTGTCAAGGACACTCCATACTGGTCAGGTAGATAGGTCAGGTTGGTGCAGACTAGAGAGGAAAACACAGTTTCACATGTAATTCAGTCTTCATTCTAAATAAATAATCGTACTGTGTCCCCATGATGCTCGTATGTATCAATACATATGTAACATATATACACAGCCCTATTTTAAAGAAATATGATGCCATTCCCCACCCCTTTATCTAATTTAACAAATTTTCTTCCACTTGGTAAACATTTAATTTCTGAACATGCTGAAGTTGGTGGAAATGTCAGACCCCTCTTAAATATCGACCTTCAAATATGTCAATCTACCCACTTCTCCTCCCTCTACCCACTGGTGTTAAACTTAGCACCCTACCCACTGGTGTGACAATATCAATGACCACCCACAACATGCACAAGTTGGTGTGAGTGAGAGTGAATTTGGTTTTACGCCGCTTTTAGCAATATTCAAGCAATATCACGGCGGGGGACACCAGAAATGGGCTTCACACATTGTACCCATGTCGGTAATCGAACCCGGGTCTTCGGCGTGACGAGCAAACGCTTTAACCACTAGGCTACCAGACCGCCCCTGCACAAGTTGGGAATCAGTTTGTGATTGCTAACTGAAATGTGTTGTGCCCAGCTCTGTCCTTCAACTCACCTGTGTCATTGAGTCCAATCTGACTAACTTCAAGGTGTGCACAGCATCCACAGTTGTAGCCAAGACATCCACATCCAGTCCCATTTGCCTTTCTGGAGTCCAACACGTCATGTGAATCTACCATCAGATCACAGTATATACATGCTATTGTTCTATAAATAATGTACGACAGCAAGAACAAAACACAATACATCAAAACTTGAAACTGCTCATTCCACCATCGAGGGAAAGGACTTAAGACTCTGCAAACACAATTTCAGTCAAACTAACGACATCATGAGCATCTTGAGACATTGTATTACATACTACAGTGGAATCTAATTGAAGAATTGTCCAATTGAAAATGGTCTGGTTTAAGGCAATATCTGGATTACAGAATGTCAGTCATATCATGCTCGGCCAAACAGATCCTTTGAAAAGCATCTAGGACATTCACACTCTTGCACAAGTCACTCACATTTTCACACTTGTCTATTCGAGACACAAGTGGTTTTAATAGCAGCTTACTATACCGTGCTTTGAACTCTCTAATGACGAGTGGCTGCAATACAGAGGTTCAATTAGGAGGCAAAAATTAAATTTTCATGTTGCATAATACGATGTTTGGATGAGATTTGTGTGTTCAAATCATTCAGCCAATCAGAACAAAACCTGGGAATTCACTCAAGCCTTACGATTTGCCATCCATGTAACTGGGAGTGTCTCGGGTTTTATGCAAGTGTAAGTTTGATACAACTTTTCTGTGCTGGTTGCTCAGGTATTGTGATTGATAATGACAAGCTGTGTTTACCGTTTTTTATTGACACGCGCATGACACTGAGTCAATCAAATAAAGCTGAGTTTCTCATTAACAGGTGAGTAAATTCTAATTAACTAAGCAGACAACAGAGTGACAAAATAGACACAAGTTACGGATAACAACTTCTTTAATACTGTAAAGGCGATTCTAACCTCTTGAACAAATTGGGGTGTTATTGGTGGGAACAAGCATGTGAAGTTTCAGGTTCATTGGTCCAGTGGTTTCTTAGGAGAAGATGCACAATGGATGACAGCCTAATCATGATCAGTATAAATACAACTTAGGTTGGGTCAAGGGGAATCTGCTACAGATATAGTAAACTTGCACCTCACAAATATGAGCCTATTTTTCATATTTTGCACCTCGAATCCAGCACATGAAACACTTCACCATGTTCATGATGCAAACATCAGCTTTTGTTACTTTGTGGTGACTGGTGCTGGTGAGCAGGTTCCTCGTCACGAACAGAAATCAAAATACTCTCCTTTGCTGTAGAGTAAATGGGTGTATCTTGATCATGTTGATCAATTAGTGTCCATCAATTTGACATGCGTTGTCAATCATGCTGTCTAATTAATAATTTAATCAACAATGTCCAGTTGTTGAATCCACTTTGACATCAGAAGTAGTTCTGGAAATCTAGGGAGCCATGTCCTATTCCTAGTCCTAGAACAACCGAAATACGGACAATATAAATGTACATTAACTCACCTTTGGTTACAAATAGTCTTGATATCTCTGTTCCTCTACTGCCACCATTTCCTGCATGTGTCAACCCGCAACAAACAGCTAAGACGAACACGAATGTTAGATTTACCTTCCTGGAAGCCATCATGTTGTTGATGTTGTTTGGAGTCATGTGTTCTAATAAAGAGCAGATAACTCCGTATTATTGTCATACTGGAAGTAGGTTTGCAGTAGTTTTCGGCGGGAAATTCGAAACATATTGCGTGCTGGAAATCGTGGAATTATGTATTTTCTCATTTGTAAGGTCATGCTAAAATATAATTATTTGAATATCTTTTAACTATTTTGCATCCAATAAATTACATAACTGGTGTCTAGATCTAATGGGTGCAGGCTAAAACGGCACCCCAGCAAAACGTCACCGATTTCTCTGGCGAAAACGGCACCGCATTTGGCGAAAACGGCTACTATGAGTCGGGCGAAAACGGCACCTCTATTTTTAATAACGATAACACCGATTTTTGTAGTAATATATAGGGTTTATTTACATGGTATTTTATTGGTGATGTATTTACATTTCCTCTTTTCAGAGATATAAGTAAATATAATATTTGATTGGTGATTTACATTGTATTTCCTCTTTTCAGTAAATATGTTCATATATACATGTCCATCTTCATCATCATCATCATCATCCTCTTCACAAAATTGGTCCATGAACAACAGAACATTGTGAAAGTACTTGGGTCAGGGAGAGATCAGGCAATCTGAAAATATAAATGTGTTAAAATACAATATTCGTTATGTTACAACAAGTAAATTGGAGTAGGAGGCTAATTTCTTATTTGTTTTATTTCACAATTAGTTGTGTTTGTAAGAGACGATGTGAGTTTAATTTCTATTATTTTTCTTCAAAGCATGTTATGTTTTCACAATAAGTTGAGTTGCGTATAAGCTAAGTTGGATTATAGTTGGAGTAGAGGCTAATATCTAATGTAAACTTGTTTTAACATCTCACAATTATTGGCGCTTGCAAGTTACAATGTAAGTTTAATATCATTTATTTGACCTAGGTAAAAAATCACAGCATGTACATATTTTCTTAGATCTATAGGGAATCGTGTAATATTCATGTATTTTCATAAAAGTGATTTATAGCATGGCATTTCATCATTATTGTTTTGGGTTGTTTTGGGGGGTTTTTTTGGTTGTTTTTTTTTGGGGGGGGGGGGGGGGGGTAAAATCAAAACTGAATTTATGATTATAAGAACTAGTAAATCTACCATCTTTATGTTAAATAGGTTTGGAAATATTTGTGTGGTATTGAACCTCATGGGAAGGTAAGGATAAGATATATGGATAAACAACTTCTTTTTCACAATTAGGAGCGACGTTTCGGCGTAGGTTCTAACACCGTTATCAAGCAACCCTCTTGAGAAGGAGTTATTGAGAAAACATCAATGTGTAACGATGCACCAGGTTCGCAGTTTTCATCCACGGTATAAGAAAATCTCCTCTTTTTCAGTACTGTTATATTGCTTTAGTTGTTTTTCTCGATTTTTTTTTTTTTCATTTATAAATTATATTATTTGAAATATTATGATCATATTGATTATCATCATGTTATATAAGGGTAACTATTATGGCTTCTTTTATGATTACCGAATGTACAGTACTGAGTCCAAATGAACATAATCAACCACATTTTTATGATGTGCATGCATGTACCAATAGGACCGTATACTAGTATTTGTCTTCATTGAATTATTTCTTCAGTGTTTGACTTTTACTAAATGGTTTAACAAGTGCATCGTTTCAATTTCAATATCGATGTTTGGTTCCGAATAATTGTGTCACGTGTGACACTTCGAAAATACATTGTCGCGAGGAATTAATGGCATGTTGCATATTTGGAGATACTTCCAGTGACATGTCACCTCACTTCATCTTAATAGCTTCTTCAGGAAATATGCCTGCATCCATGGGGATCAGAATAGCTACACTTTAGCATATCTATATCTTTTCTTAATATAATTAGGTGTCCCTCGGATATTGCTCAAAATTGCGTAAATTCACACTCACTCACTCTAAGTATAATGCCTCCACGTCAGTACGTAACAGGAGCAATAACAATAACGTGACTTTAAAATGTTCGATATAACCAGAGAACCCCTGCTCTATAGATGAGTGTGAGTATGGTGTAACGCGGCTTTTAGCAATATTCCTGCAATATCATGGCGGGGGACACCAGAAATGGGCTTCACACATTGTACCCATGTCGGGAATCGAACCCGGGTCTTCGGCGTGAAGAGCGAACGCTTTAACCACTAGGCTACCCGATCGCCCCGCTCTATAAAGGACCCACATGCAGACCCGAGTGGGAATAGGTTCATTTAAACTTTTGTTAGTTGCGAGAGTCGACGAAATGGATCACGTGATTTGGATTTGATTTTATCATCCCGCGATTGCGTTGGACGCTGCTAAATCTCGCTCAGGTTCGATTGTTAAAAGTTACTGACAGCTGAGACAAAATGGAATGGTGCTTACTCCGGAGTTGAACAAAAAGGAACTTTTAAACAACCAAACATCAAAGTCAAAAGAGATTGATGAGATTGAGGTTATAAAAAAAAAACTCCCAACAAATCACGCGTACCACACTGCTTGGTCCCGAATACACTCAAAGATCCCGAATCCCGCGTACCAAAAGGGGGTTGTCAGCCTCACTAAGGGAATGTGGTATAATAACAGCATGAGAATATTTTGAGTTAGAAAGAATGCTGCACGTTCTAAAAGTCAGTAACATAAATAGCAAACAGAAGTGAGGATAGGCGATTGTAATGTCGTTGTAATGCATTTATGGTCTAAGGGAGATAACCATGTATGCATTCATGACATATTTCTTTTAATCAACGCCGGGGTTAAAACGGAACGTGCACGTTTGAATTTCTTTCTCCTTAATTCGGTTGTTTTTTGTCTTCTAATATCGATTCGGCAAAAAAGAAACAGATCGCAAAGGACTCCATGGTTTTGTTTATGGTCAAAGGGAGTTAATCAGTAACTGCATTCCCAGACTTACCTCCCTTTTGGACAAGGGACATAACTCTTGTTAATCGTACGCAGTTAGCTCCCTTTCCTCGAGACACGCCCATGCTCCTCACAGCGATAGTACGTTCCCGGAGCTCTCTATACTATCGCTGCCACCAGTCAAAACTCCCCACTGTGAATAGGTGGCCACAACCATGCTTGGAGTTGAACTCGCAACCGAATGACCGTTATGTTTACAAACAAGTGACGACTGTCGTGACGCCGAATACACTTATCGCTGCTAAAATACTTTCTTCGTTTGTCAATTTGAATTTCTGTTTCATTAAAACTATCGTGTTATTGATATAGTAAGAATGTAAGGGAGAAATTGGTTGATTTTCCGTTAGTCTGCAATCTCGAACCAATCTGATTACCAAAACAACAAAGTAAATTCATTTGGAAAATATGGTCAGTCGTAAACCTTTTCAAATTGAAATATGATGGCCTTCCCAAAGACATAAACAAAAGTATAAACATTACTACATATGGGGTTGGAGGGCAAATTTCAAGATTCTTGAAATGGCCGCGCCCACACTGGTGGCAGCGATGTTACCGAGAGTGTAACGAAGGTGTCACGCGCTGGGAAGGAGCTTGGAGACACGCCGTGAAGTTTTAAGCGAGACACTGTGCGGAGTTAAGACAAGGAATTAACTCCACACAGTGTTTTGCTTAAAACTTCACACACGGCGTGTGCCCTCGATTAAAGGGAGCTAACTGCGCACAACAAGACGATATCAAGAGTTATATCCCTTGTCCCAAAGGGAGGGAAGTCTGTTTAGCAAGTGTAAACATGAATAATAGTTACTTCCCTTTGACCGTAAACGGCACGATTCCCCAAATCTAAGGCGGTGTATCGATGTTGTATGTAGGTAACGGAATAAACTGAGTGGACCTGAAAGAAGCTGAAGTTGTCGGCGTGCGGCCTATGAAAACCACAGCATATTTTCTGCTAACTACAAAACATTAAAATGAGGTTGTATTTCAGTAGGTCTAGTTATATTGCTTTTTGATATTATCACTCGCAGTAGGGCTTAGTTCCTGTTTGGAATGGGAAAAGCCAAGGTCACACTGTAGAGTTAGGTCTTAGCTCATTCTGTTTTGATCTACTTTTATGGCGACAGCTTGTAAATATTCTGGACAAGGCAATTTGGTGTTTGACATTGTGAGCAACAATCCATGTCGTCAAGGTAATATGACACATAATCAACAAAGTTTCTGACCATCCAATCCATTTGGTTGCCTCTTACGACCAGCATAGTCTGTTTGGGATCAGTTCTAGGGTGTGTAATTCCTTAGGGTGTAGTTCATTCTGGTGGTTATGAATATATATATATATATATATATATAGCCTTAACTTTAAAGAAAACGTTAACATTTGTATCAGTGTTTGTTTTGTTTCTTTGTTGTTTAACACTGCAGTCAGCTATAATCCAACTATGAGGGCTGGCTGAAAAGTTCTAAGCCTAAGTGGGATATCTCAATCAGATTGAAACAAACTTTTGCCATCAACAAGTAAAATCATTTAATGAATCAAAGACATAAGAACTGCAACTGTAGTGTTATTATTGTCTTTGTACCAGACCATCTAGTGAACCTACCCATTGAAATCACCAGAAATGGACAAAACTGGCTATAGGGCGGTCATCAAGTACCTGCTGAAAGGGCTAACTGCAACACAGATACATGCTGACATGGTCTCGATGATGCCCCTTCCTTTACCACTGTATAGAAGTGGGCTGCGGAATTCAAGCGTGGCAGAGAGAGCCTTGACGATGACCCGCGTCCAGGAAGCCTTCAACAGCAACCATTCCGGAAAACATTACCCGGGTGCATGACATGGTGATGGCTGATCGACGATTGACCACTCGACATATTGCCAGTGTTGTGGGCATCTCTCATGAGAGGGTTGAGCACATTATCACCAATGAGTTGGGAATGACAAAAGTTTCTGCAAGATTGGTGCCAAAGCTCTTGACAGCAGATCAGAAACGTGTCAGAGTCCTGAAGTCCCATGACAATTTATGCCGTTTTGAAGCAGATCCCGATGATTTTTTGGCCCGATTTGTAACCATGGATGAGACCTGGATTCATCACTTTCAACCAGAAACCAAAATCCAGTCTAAACAATGGAAGCATCCGGAATCACCAGCCCCCCAAAAAGCCAAGTTGGTTCCTTCTGCTGGAAAGGTGATGGCTTCAGTCTTTTCGGATTCCAAGGGTATTCTGCTTATTGACTATCTTGAAAAAGGCCAGACTATCAATGGAAGATATTATTACTGAGACAGTTGCGTGAAGCTATCAACGCTAAGCGACAGGGAATGCTCAATAAAGGAGTCCAGTTCCACCAAGACAATGCTCCTGTTCACAAATCGGTGGTTGCCATGTCAGCGATCCATGATTGTGGCTTCAAACTCATTGACCGACCCCTTTATTCACCCGATTTGGCCCCATCAGACTTCCACCTGTTTCCCAAAATGAAAAACTAGCCGGTCGCCTTTTTCCTAGTAATGATGACATCATTTCCGCTGTGAATGACTTTTTTAGGGTGGCTGAAGAAACTTTCTTCTTGACCGGCATCCAGGCCTTGGAGCATCGCTGGCAAAAGTGTGTAAACCTGGAAGGGGACTATGTGGAGAAATAAATGAAAACCATCGACTTGGTACGGGTCTTTCACAGTTATGCTTAGAACTTTTCAGCCAGCCCTCGTATATAACATGGCAGGTACACATGTATGCATTATCCCGGACACCAAATCCGCCATGTTTGGTTGATACTACTAATAAAGTATTTTGAATCTACTTTGGTAATTAAAGAAGATTTCATTTACTTACGAAAGCATTTAATTCAAGCCGTTGAGTGGGGGGCAAGCCCCCCAAACTCCCTGTTGTTTTATCGACTTAATAAAAATGGTGAAAAACAGAAACCGTTACCAAAATGGCGAAAGGTGGAATTCTTGTTGTTTAACACTGTTTAACAATAATCCAGCTATATCACATGGCCTGCAGAAATAATTTTGGACCTGATATTATAAGCAGCCTGACACTATCGCCAGTATTGGGGGAACAATGACACAATCAGCCAAGTCATCAAGCCTGACCAACAGGTCGAGGACAATCACAAGTTACTGTTGACCTATTTTAACCCCAGAATTTCCATGGGGAATATCAAATTAATTTGGAGAACATGCTAAGTGAGTATGACACATTAATTTCTGGTGTACCTCACTTCAAAAATGGTATCGTTAGGAAATTTGTCAATCAATCATTGAGCTTGGTATGGAAATGAGGACAATCCATAATTTGATATTATATTATTTTTTTCATTTATGGGTAGGGCTGGTAGGGATGATTTTCCATTGTATTCAGCAAAGAAATCACAGCCATTGTAGTTTTGTTTAACCCAGAGACCATATACTCGGTTTAACTCTATCATACCTGCTAAACTGCTTCACTGAACCCGAGAACAACAAACATCAGCATGAATAATATAAATGTTTATTACATATTGACAAGATATAGACAAACAGTAAATATTGCTGATCTTTGGAATAGCGAATCAAGTAGTGTAATGACAGCCACCTTTTCGTTGGTCCACTTTCATAGGTTCTGCCTGGTGATGATTGAAAATACTCCAGAAGACATCCAGACAACGTTTTCCCACCAGTAATGTCTTTCTATGGCTACCACAAATCATTTGCTTATTGTTTGATTTTCAAAGGAAAAGGGACACAATTTCTTTTTTATTGAAACAACTACAAATTCACTCATAAAAATTAAGAAAAAAAACTAACTGAATATTTGGTACAAAAATAAAAGTAAGAAATTGTTTTCGTTTTGATATGCAGGTTTTTAACAATAAGGAAAGCAATTTTAGGGATGTCCCTGTGGACAACTGCTTGTGAGCATAGAGTGGAGCAAGATAGTTTGTGATGTTCAGGTATATGAGCTCCCACTTATAATAATTTGTTTTTGTTTCTAAGCATTGTTAACATTTGTTAAAAGATAAAAGTTGTTATCTTGACTATCAATAACCAACCCTGGTAAATAATTCCGTCTTTGTTACAGATTCCAACTTTCTGCACCTTGAGCTTCAGAGGTCATGTAATACATTAGAATCAAGTTAAATTCCATAGATTTGTTCCCAACAATAGAAATAACTTAAGAAATATAATCCTAACTCCCTACTAAGTAGGGATTAAAAAGAGGTCATAAGAAACAAGAATGTTTTTTTAACTGGCTTGAACTAGAGGTCATTGTAATGTCAAAAAGAATAAAGATAGACAAGAGATTATGCTACGTAAATATTATTTGAAATAGCTTCAAAAACTACAGTGAAATATTTATAAGCTTTGAATTTATCAATACATGTAAGTCTGTCCACAGGAACTTGTAACTTGAGGGAGAGATTTTACCCTTTATACTGACGTTTGCTATGATAACAACATCACAACAGATTCATGTGATTTGTCAGAAATAATTGATGATGAGGTCAATATAACCCCTACCACAACATGGACATCCACAAAATATATGGATACATTTTAATGTAGGTCCTTAGGTAAACGTCTTTGAACTTGATTGACATAATAGACAGTATTTTGAAATTGCTCAGTATGTCACTACTTCAAAACAAAACACAAGCCTTTCCATTCTTTATATGACTGGAAGATTGTCAGCAATTTTTGTTAAAAAAGGTAAAAAATATCCCCAAACCAAATTGGAAAATATTCACTCTAAAGTGATGGTAAAATAAATATTGTTTCATTAATAAAACTCTGGGACCTCTGCACAGCTTTGATATCATGGAATCAATCACCTGATTAAAGCAGATATTGACATCCACCATCATCAACAGATTTCATTCAACTCAAACATGCAATATGATTTTTCATATGAAGGGAAATACGAAGTACTTAGTCCCAGCATAATTTTCATCCATCAGTTTAATCCAAAGAAGATCAAAATTGCCAAAAATAATCGATGAAATTGTCTTCCATTACCATGCTTCAACAATTCCTGTTCCCAACAACCTATTGAGTACATACACACAAGGCGAACATTCACTGCATATAAGGTAGCATGGCTATTTTTGATTGGGCAGAGGGAACTCATCCATCTTTAATTGTTTGGATGACAGATCACAAAGTTATTCTATTTCTTTTTTATAGGTTCAAAGCAACAGTTTACAAATTATTTGTGATGTTTATTGGACAACAAAAATACAAACCTAAATTCCTCAGCCCTAAAGTTATTGCTTTCTGTTTTTCCAATCTTTACATTGTTTGCGGGAATTACATTATAACTACAGTGCAAAACATGGACATTTGTTTTATTAGTAAACAGTCTCATTTAAATCAGATCTTCTGCTCGAATACGTCTCTGCGTGAAGATTAAACAACCCCATCATAGATTATTAGCGTTATATGAACCTGGGTTGCTGATCCAATCAGAAGTCAGCTTTATAAACCTATTTGGCTTCATTCCTTTACCATCTCAATTTGGAAATATAGATGTTCACAAAAGATAAACATACGGAACACCAATATTTCTACATTGGTTCCCCTTTGGCTGTTAATGCCATGGTGCTCCGAAACCACAGGGTGTATAAAATAGCCACAATATAATCTGCAGCTTTTATTACTTACATTCAGAACTGGCCATTTTTAATTGGTTTTCAATACAGAAATTATATATGCTGGTCTGAATGCTTCACTCACTCATACCGATAATTTCGAAGTCTTGCTGATTGGCCCATGTGACACGAGGGGTTGTCAGATCTGCATGCAGAGAGTATCATATCAGAGTAAAAGATCTGATTTTAATGAGATTGATTACAAATGACCTCTGTGTTGGGAAGTGTTTCAGACTGACCAGAATTTGTAGTCAAAGGATCAGGATCAAGGAAGTTTACTGGTCCTGTTCAATCTCTTGTGGTCCTGACCAAAACGGTAAACAGTGCTAACTACCATAGACAATACAACATATCAAACACAGCTGTTCAGATTGTCGACTGTGCGTATAGTTTCCATGTTCCATTAGAAATATATCAGTGGGAAAAAGACAAGGCCGAATTGTATTTTCTCAAATTATCAGCATGTTGAGACTGGAGAGTGCAGATCCATGATGTGCATTTGCTCTTAAAGACATAGCTTGAAATGGATAATAGTTATTTTACGTATTCCACATTTAACAATACAGTTGTACTGCAGATTTAATACATGCACACTGAAATTGATCAATTATTATCAAAAAAGATCATAGTGATAAAAGTTTCTACAATTTTGTATGCTTTTTTATTTTTCTGATACATGAAAAGGTGGGTCCGTCAGGAAAATATAAAAAGATTTTAGCTATTTTTAGTTCCTACTCTGTGACTTTTGTCTCTGGTCGGTGAAACCAGTGAACCATCACATTACAAAAGGGCCACATTATGGCATGGTCAGGTGATTTCACCATACATGCAACAGTGGTTATTATCACAGTAATAGATTTGGCAAGATACAAAACAGAGGCTTATATTATTTATCACACAGTTTTACATCTATTAATTCATAATTACAAAGGAAAAGAACTATGGAGTCTGATCTGAGTTGAATGTAACACAAATGTCTAAAAGCTGAAATACCAGTACATAAATATAGTAAGTAAAATAAAGTTTGATTACAGAGAAAGTTTTATACCTCATAAAGGTGACTGGCTCATGGAAGACATAATTTTGAATCAGGCAACTTCCGTATATTTACCCATCCTGTATTCAGTTTATTACATAGGTATCTTCTTTCTATAATGACAAACAATCTTGATCCATTGGCTACCACAGCATTGTCTTGAGCATGATTCAAATTGACCCATGCTAAAATAGACTTCATACCAAATTGCCCTGATGAGCAGGCAAATTTCTGTGCTATATGTTATAGATAGGAGAGATGGGCATTGTCCGGTCACTTCCCCGGAGAAGCTGTAGTGATGAGTGGGTCCAGGTCCAGGGTGTTTAATATCTATTAATCATAACTGAATGGAGATATTTGAGTGTCTCTACTGCTGAACTGTCATAGCTGATACATAGTCTTAAGAGTAACCTCCCCTTGTTCAAGAAAAATGAAAGCCAGAGGACCACATGGCACCTAACTGAGAGAGACAATAAAAGAAATGGAGCTTGTATTGGCTTATAGTTATTCCAAAACTTTGTGCCTTACAATACTATAAGACCCTGGATAATCAAGGATGATGTTTCTTGATTGGCTAGAAGTACAGAAAGTGCTTACTACAAATCTTCATTCCTATAATCCTACAGAGCCAAGATTCTCCTTGAATATAGGACAAAAGTTTAGAAATTTGATCTGTCTCACTTCTTTTGATTTTTGCCTGAAGTTTTAACAGATGTTATGAAATGTAAAACAATTTTCAACATAATTTTGAAAAATTAAACATTTAAATCAACTCAAGATATATACAGTACAAATACTTCTTAAATATGTTTCTTACATTGTAACCTTGTTTACAATGTTGTTGGGCATCTGTTATTTTCATAATTGAAACATTTTGGCAAATTGGCTTAATATCAGTAATAATAAGGCATGGAATAAACCCAAAACCAAAAAAAAATACAGTTCTGTGTACAACACCTCAATTTAGAATGTATCAAAGACGTATATACATATTTGAATGTATTTGAAAACACCTGTTTGGTGTTAATGCGAGTCTGATCCTTTCCATCTTACATATTGGCCGAGAAGAAAGACATAAAAATCAAGCCATTTTTATTCCATACACACATTACTATATATTCCAGTCTTTATTGGTTTTCAAAAACTTGAAACTCTTTGCAAAAAGTTTAAAACACAGACAAAGAGCTTAATAAACAGATAGTAAGCTAAATCATTGCTCGGAATAACCCTTCATGAAGTGAGGAAATCTACAAAGGCTGTTTACTGAAGTTTATATGTACATTGCACCCATAGCACTCAGCATGCTCAAACACATCACAGATTGACAAATCTCAGCTGAAAATAAACATGGAGTAATGGCAACTTATTGAAGCAAAACTTTCAATCTATTAAGAATATAATTACAACATAATTATGTTAAGACATGGCACAGGTTTCATTGACCAAACGTTTGATTCCTCTCAAATGTACAAGATATAGATGTGAGCCTGCAACTTCAGACAGTAGTGCAAACCTGTCTCAAGTAGACTGATTTCAGGGTACACAGCTCAGCTAATAAAAATCCATATGTAAAACGTTTTTGGCACAGGCTGAGGCAATGAGTATGTGTTAATTGAAGGCTATTGAAATACTCCTGCTTGAGTAAGGAGGGAGGGAAATTCAGGGAATCAATGTATTTGATAGAAGTTGAGTGAGTGAGTGAGTGAGTTGGTTTTAGTATAGCAATATTCCAACAATATCATGGCGGGGGACACCAGAAATGGGCTTCCCACATTGTACCCTTGTGGGGAATCATGCATTTTGAGTCACGTAATCTCTGCATGATTATGAATGTGAATGCCTCAATATCAGTGAATGTGTGTGTATATATATGTCCTGATTTGTAGAATATTTATACCTGATATGATTCCAAAGTCAAAGCAAATCTTAATCACTGTGCATACAATACTGGTGACCTTAAAAAGAAATCACAGTGTAAGAATAATAGAATTTTTCTTTTGATATTTAATGTTCCAACCTCATTTAACAAATACTTATTTGATGCACAGTCTTATCTGATAATATATATTTCACATCGTTGTGTTTGCATATGGTCAAATGAGTTAAAAGTTAATTCAATTTCTCACGACTAGCACAAGCTTTGAACTTTCTCAACAAATAACATCAGATATGTGGAATGTTTTGATTTACACACAAACATGGAACAAAATTAATATCGGGCACCATATTCGATATATATCACATTTCTGTACATTAAAATAAACTTTATGAATCATATTTGGGTAGGTAACAAGATATATGGCAACATGTTATCACAACTTTGTAATTTCGTCATAGTCATTTACCAATATTCCACGTACAAATCTCTTTGAATGTTTTGGTCGTGACATGGTTTCTGAAGAGTTGTCTTTCCTTGCAGCATCTGAAGAAGAACCATGTTCCTTATTATCCTTGATCTCAGAAACCTGTGGCGTGTCAGTTTGATCTCCTGCCTTTGGCTGGAATTCAGGTGCTGCATCATCTATTAGGTTTGGCATGTCAACAGATTTATCCAATTTGCCAGATGCACATTCAGAGTGATCTCCCTTGCCAGAGTCAGCATTAACGTTATCTCCCTTGTCAGATTCACCTTCAGAGAGATCCCCCTTGCCAGACTCGCCTTCAAAGTTATCTCCCTTGTCAGATTCACCTTCAGAGAGATCCCCCTTGCCAGACTCGCCTTCAAAGTTATCTCCCTTGTCAGATTCACCTTCAGAGAGATCCCCCTTGCCAGACTCGCCTTCAAAGTTATCTCCCTTGTCAGATTCACATTCAGAGTGATCTCCCACGTCAGCTATACTTTCAGAGTTACCATCAAGAGGCATTGAATTATCCAGAGTTATTTCAGCACTGTTTACACAGTCTTTGTGGTCCCAAGGCAACACAAGTTCTGTGTCTGCCCCATCTTTCTCAGGATGTGTTGTTATTCCAGAGTTAATTTCCTTGAATGACTCTTCAACCTGAAAAATTTCTGCTTCTGATTTTTCCTCTGTAGTGACATCTTTCTCCTGATTTTCTGCATTGGTAATTAATGAGCTAACACTCTTATTGGATAGGGAATCCACTTTATTTTTGCGGATTCCTTGCAACGAAACTATATCTGAGCAACTTGCACTGGAGTCAAGGAATGCATCGTTGTCATCGGAAAAGCTGTCGTTGAGCGTATTATCATTGAGAGAAATTTCACTGGAGTCATCAACACTGCTTTGGTAGGCCCTGGGAAACAGGAAGTGTTGCTGGGTGAGTTTGTTAGGAAGGTTTTGAAGCATCTGGGCAGGGGAGACAACCATGCTGAAGCGATCCCAGTCACTTGAGGCAGAGCTGCGAAGGCTGCTCCGTACGGAGGAAAATCGAGAAAACCCACCATGCCCTGATAAAAAGAAAAACACAAAAGTCAATGATTATGCTTATTACTACACCAAGGGCTATAACATTAGTACCTGTCAAAACTATGATACATTGAGATAAACATTGTTTTCAGATTTGCTGGTGTTACTGAGTATTCAATGTCATGCCTTCGGCTCAAATTCACAATTCTGAAAACACATAATGTTCAGGCTACAGCATAACTTAAAGTGACAAAGAACTATCTCTCCTGAGTGAATGAATTGGGTTTTACACTGCAATACTCTAGCCATATCTCTACTACTAGAAACACTAGAAAATGGCTATACACATATATTGTACCTATGTGGGTTATCAAATTCTGGGCCTTTGTGTCAACCACTAGTCTACCCTACCACCCCTCTCCTGAACTAACACTCTTGTATGACAAGGGACATTATCTATAAGTCAAAGTAGCAAGTGCATTTTCTATGGATTGAAATAGAACCTTGTCATCAGTGAGGTCAAGCTGTTGCTGGCAGCCATTTGGGATGCAATGTGACAGCCAATGGCTGAACACAAGCAGTCATAAAACCCTACATACCAATACTTTCAGTTCTCCTCACATAGGCAATCCGATGCCAGTAAGTTGTGTTCTTAAGTAGTACATGTATTAAGAGAAATGTTTGTCTTGAATGAAATATATAGAAAATATAGTTCATGCTTAACGTCATCTTCTGATTCCCCCATAACGGTGGCATTATCCCAAGAAATAAGGCTGGAACTCCCTTCCTGCTTGATAATCCAGTAATGCCGCAAAGTATGACACAAGTCACCTCAAGTATGACTTTATAGTAACACAAGTCACCTCAAGTATGACTTTATAGTAACACAAGTCACCTCAAGTATGACTTTAAAGTAACACAAGTCTCCTCAAGAATGACTTTATAGTAACACAAGTCACCTCAAGAATGACTTTAAAGTAACACAAGTCACCGCAAGTATGACTTTATAGTAACACAAGTCACCTCAAGAATGATTTTATAGTAACACAAGTCACCTCAAGTATGACTTTATAGTAACACAAGTCACCTCAAGTATGACTTTGAAGTAACACAAGTCACCTCAAGTATGACTTTATAGTAACACAAGTCACCTCAAGAATGACTTTATAGTAACACAAGTCAACTCAAGAATGACTTTATAGTAACACAAGTTACCTCAAGTATGACTTCATAGTAACACAAGTCACCTCAAGAATGACTTTATAGTAACACAAGTCACCTCAAGTATGACTTTATAGTAACACAAGTCACCTCAAGTATGACTTTATAGTAACACAAGTCACCTCAAGTATGACTTTATAGTAACACAAGTCACCTCAAGAATGACTTCATAGTAACACAAGTCACCTCAAGTATGACTTTATAGTAACACAAGTCACCTCAAGAATGACTTTATAGTAACACAAGTCACCTCAAGAATGACTTTATAGTAACACAAGTCACCTCAAGTATGACTTTATAGTAACACAAGTCAACTCAAGTATGACTTTATAGTAACACAAGTCACCTCAAGAAATAACCAGAGGAGGGCATTTTAGCTTTTAGACAAGAAAGGTTTTCAAGATACCAACTGAATGAAAGCATCTTTCTACCTTCCTACACCATTTGTTTACCGTAATGAACATAGGTAGCAACTAGAATAGGAATAACACAGTTCACTATTATAACAAATGAGAGAGTCCAAATTCAATGAGGAATCAGCAAAATGGCAAAAAGATAAGTGCTCTTATTCAAACTTCTGCCAAAAATGCCAACAAAGACAATCACTTCACCAAACCAAAGGAGAAATGCATGCCACAGTTTAGGGGAGAAGATGTTTACAACACACAACTGACACCTGATGCCAGACAAATAGATATGACTTTTTGTCAGGTGAGCTAAAATACGGAACTTGGGGTGTCATGACATTGATTAAGGGAAAAGTTTGGAGAGGGAATTTACTCGAACTATTCTGCCTTATGACTCACCTTCGAGAATGTAGTGCTCCTTTTTTTCCAGATAACGTAACTCGTCCAGTTTCGCCTTCAATACTTGCTGTAAAACGCAAGAAAGAATAATTCATAATTTTGGAATGATAAATTGGAGTGAGTTATTTCAAACAAAGATGAATACATGCATAGTTACTGTGGACTTGGGATGTCACAACATTACAAATGCAGAACACAACAATAAAATGAAACAAAGTACAATCTTGGACTTATTTCAGCCAAATGTAACTTTTCTAAGTTTGGAAAAAGATTGCCAAGCCACAGCAGTCTACAAACACTGGTATCGAAGCTGGTATGCATACCATCCTTGCTAAACTTTCATTCTTATCTCCAATGTTGTCTACAATTGTAAAGGACATCAGCTATGCCCTAGTTAGATGCTGATCATTTGGATAGTGATAACAATTACCACAGTAGTTTGTCTAGATCGACAATGGCTAATCGTGACTGAATAGCCAGTAGACAGGGGTGGTGCCATCTGAAAATAATCCGTACCTGACCGTTTCCTCATTTGCATATTTTTCCGCAAATATACCCAACAGATATCGTTTTTCATCTGCAACATATCCATTATATGATAAAAGTTATTCTTTGATGAAAGAAAGATACTGTCAGAGGTTGAGAAGCCAAAACAGGTACCACACACAGGGGTCTCACCTTGAGTCTGATGAATCTTTCATAAAGCTCCACCTTGCGACAGCAGTCTTCGAACAGCACAACAAGCCTGTGAAATCATCAAGACACATTATACAGAGCTACTACTTAGGTCAGATCCAAGGGGGAGCCAGATGGACCAATGAAACGTGATCCATAGTAATACTTTATACAGAGCTACTACTTAGGCCAGATCCAAGGGGGAGCCAGATGGACCAATGAAACGTGATCCATAGTAATACTTTATACAGAGCTACTACTTAGGCCAGATCCAAGGGGGGAGCCAGAGGGACCAATGAAACGTGATCCATAGTAATACTTTATACAGAGCTACTACTTAGGTCAGATCCAAGGGGGAGCCAGAGGGACCAATGAAACGTGATCCATAGTAATACTTTATACAGAGCTACTACTTAGGCCAGATCATAGGGGGGAGCCAGAGGGACCAATGAAACGTGATCCATAGTAATACTTTATACAGAGCTACTACTTAGGTCAGATCCAAGGGGGAGCCAGAGGGACCAATGAAACGTGATCCATAGTAATACTTTATACAGAGCTACTACTTAGGCCAGATCCAAGGGGGGAGCCAGAGGGACCAATGAAACGTGATCCATAGTAATACTTTATACAGAGCTACTACTTAGGTCAGATCCAAGGGGGAGCCAGATGGACCAATGAAACGTGATCCATAGTAATACTTTATACAGAGCTACTACTTAGGCCAGATCCAAGGGGGGAGCCAGATGGACCAATGAAACGTGATCCATAGTAATACTTTATACAGAGCTACTACTTAGGTCAGATCCAAGGGGGAGCCAGAGGGACCAATGAAACGTGATCCATAGTAATACTTTATACAGAGCTACTACTTAGGTCAGATCCAAGGGGGAGCCAGATGGACCAATGAAACGTGATCTATAGTAATTCTTTATACAGAGCTACTACTTAGGCCAGATCCAAGGGGGGAGCCAGAGGGACCAATGAAACGTGATCCACAGTAATACTTTATACAGAGCTACTACTTAGGCCAGATCCAAGGGGGGAGCCAGATGGACCAATGAAACGTGATCCATAGTAATACTTTATACAGAGCTACTACTTAGGCCAGATCCAAGGGGGGAGCCAGATGGACCAATGAAACGTGATCCATAGTAATACTTTATACAGAGCTACTACTTAGGCCAGATCCAAGGGGGGAGCCAGAGGGACCAATGAAACGTGATCCATAGTAATACTTTATACAGAGCTACTACTTAGGCCAGATCCAAGGGGGGAGCCAGAGGGACCAATGAAACGTGATCCATAGTAATACTTTATACAGAGCTACTACTGAGGCCAGATCCAAGGGGGAACTTCAGTAGTTTCTGAGAAAACTTGTCCCCACTGCACACAGTATGTACTAGGTAAAATAACATGGATCAAGTGCTGTAACTGTGTAAAAAATCATTTATGGCACCAATTTGTAAACTCAGTCTTGACAAGTATCGCTTAGATAAGCATGCAACTTTCATGCATGTAACTTCGGTGTTTCTGAGAAAGCCTGTCCCCATTGCACACACTATATTGAAAAGCATGGAGCAAGGGTCATAACTCTGTAAAAAATAATATATTGGTCTAATTTTCGAACACAGTCTTGATCAGTATGTCTAAGCTAAGCAAAACTTTCATTCCTGTCCCAACTGCACGAAGTTTAAAAAGCACGGAGCAAGGGCCATAAAACAAGAGTCATCAGAAGATGACAAATCTCCCCTGTCCCCTCAAATTCGAAAGAACAAATCATCTGACTGTTACTTTGTCCAACTTGATGAGAGAATTTCTATCTAATGTGTATACAAGAGTAGTTATAGAACTATCAAAACATTACCATGGAATTTGGATTCGGAACCTTGTATTTCTATGTCAGGTACACACCACTATGACCAGAGTCAAAATCAAACTTGTTGCCATGGAAACAGAACATAATATAAAATCCCTAAATAACAAAAGGCAGCAGTGGACAACCTGGTTTCAAGAAAGAGTAATTATTAGCTTTAGAGCTATGGTCCAGACAAACACACCACTATGAACAGAGTCAAAGTCAAAAACATTTCGATGGAAACAGGAAAATAATAACAAAAATTAAAATTCCTAAATAGCAAAAGGCACCACTTAAGCCCTTGATTAATACATATACCAAGTTTGGATGAAAAATGTTAAGTTTAGTTTAGTTTTTTAGTCGTGCTCTGGAAATGACACCTACCCCTCCCTTTTGAGACTAAGTCCAAATTGTTTCCATGGAAATCAAGGAAAATAAAAATGACACTTCAGGATCGGCCAAGTTGTGTTGAAAGATATTGAATGTTTTTTGAGTTGTGCTCCAGAAACGAAATGCGAAATCCTAAATCCCGGCTCTACGTCATGGTGGGTGATAATAAACTGATAGATTCTTCATGTTCTTTGAGATTTTACAGGCCAGTGGTAGACAATGTGGGCTTGCAGTTTTATCTCCCATCCTAATAATACCTTTGCAAAGGGCAGTGAAAAGTGCAACTGTCTTAGGGCATGTTGGATGTTGGTGTATTAATTATCAAGGAAAAGGTTCTTTCTAGTGAGTGAGTGAGTTAAATTTTACATCGCATCGGCAATATTTCAGCCATATAGCGATGTGAACTAGGTTGAACAAGTTAGGCATTTAGATTATATATTAAAAGCTGTCATCGAAGGACAGTACAACAACCAGCAATATATCACAGATTATAAATTTAAAACTAGTTTTAGAGCAATAAAATAATCAGATACAATACAAACAATACAATATAAAAACGGGCTGTAGGTCGCCAGCAACCAAAGTTAGGCCACCATACTAGGGACCATGGGGACTTACGGTACTTCTGCTACCTACATGGTACCCCAGCAGGATTTACACCATCCCTCTGGCCACTGGCGATTATCAGACAGATTAGCCAAAGAGTTAAAATCAACAAAAATACTACGATTAAAAGCACAGAGATAGGAAATGATACGTTGAATGATACTGGACTTACGTAGGTTCTTTCTAGAAATTATACTTGGAAATGATAGATATAGAACAGGTCCTGGTCCTGTAACGTCACAAGATTCCAGTTACCCGGGACATGTGAATGGGAACTGAGTACTTCTACGATCTCCATCTGATTCCCTGGTCCCTACCTGAGAGTGTCCTTGGCGTCCTTGATCTTCCTGACCAGTATCTTGTGAGGCTCGCCCTCCACACTCTCACCATTCACAGACAGAATCACGTCCCCTGTTGAACAAACACAACATTACATTGGTACTTCAACATTTAATTGTCAAACAACATGTTAATACTGAACTGTTTTGTTGCGTTCTGTCATTTGAATGTTTGAGTGAGGGAATGTGTTTGGTTTGACACTATTTCAGTTATATCACTGCATGTCAGCTTGACGTTGGAGGAAAACCTGAAGTGATGCAGGTCTCAAACCCAATCAGGGATCTGGGATTTGAAGACATGGTTGTAGTATTCTCACATATAGAAGGAATGAAACTCAGCACAGCGAGGTGAAGCACCTTAGATGTAACCTACTCACCATCCAACTCACTCACTCATTGACCCACCAACTCACTCACTCACCCTCCAACCCACACTCACTCACCCACCAACTCACCCTCCAACCCTCACTCACTCACCCACCAAGTCACTCACTCTCCCTCCAACCCTCACTCACTCACCCACCAACTCCCTCACTCATGCACCCACCAACTCACTCAGTCATGCCCCCTCCAACCGCACACACCCTGCCCCTGAAGGAGACAACGTACCTCGGCGCATGCCAGCCAGCCCTGCCGAACTGTGAAGTTCCACATAGTCCACATAGGTCATCACCTCCAACTCGTTGGTCTTCTTGTTCTTGATGCCATATGTCTGTCAGACAGATGACAAGTTATACCATACAGTACAGAAGGACTCTGGGGTGAAATACTTTTTGTGTTCCTTTCTAGAGAGAATCTTCTACTAACAAATTGGGATACATTTTCTGTAGCTAACTTTATTTATTCATTAATCCTAAAGGACCAACTATTTGATAGTCTGGGAGTGTGTGTGTGGGGGGGGGGGGGGGGGGGGGGGTTGGTAATTGAGGTTTTATCCAAAATATAAATTATTTCCAAAAATTAGTGAAATAAGTGAAAAAATAATTATGCTTCAGACTATAAAAAAAATAAGAAGTTGCCTCTCCACAAAAATTTGTTGCCAGGTGTTTTTCTTTTAAAAAAAAATTCAGGCTCATAGTTTTAAATAAAAAATATCTGATTTTGTAGCCGAAAAATATCTCAGGTACAAACTGAGTCAAAAATAGAGTCGCAAGGCTCTGTAGTTCTCCTGACTTGTAAACCATAACCTTATGACACTTGAACCTTATTTTGGTAGCAACATCTAAATGAGTTAAAAAAAAACTTGGCGCAAAAGGTCCTTGGAAACAAAAATAAAGTTATGCAAATAGTGATGCCTGGAACAAACATGGATCTACTTCTAGCTATTACCTTTCACACAAAGATTAAACCCTGTGTCCTGCGGTCTCCTAATAAGTATTTTAGTAAAAAAAATTTTTTTTAAATTACAATATCATATTTACGTGAGTCAATAAGTGAGTGTGTATGGTTTTACGCTGCTTTTAGCAATATTCAAGCAATATCACAGTGGGGGACACCAGTATGGGCTTTATGCATTGAAACCAGAACCGAACCTGGGTCTTCGATATGACGAGGGAATGCTGTCAGTGTGATTGCACCCCCTCACCGTGTAGTGTGCTTGCACCCCCTCACTGTGTACCTGTAGTGTGCTTGCAACCCCTCTCTGTGTACCTGTAGTATGCTTGCACCCCCTCAATGTGTACCTGTAGTGTGCTTGCACCCCCTTACTGTGTACCTGTAGTGTGCTTGCAACCCCTCTCTGTGTACCTGTAATGTGCTTGCACCCCCTTACTGTGTACCTGTAGTGTGCTTGCATCCCCTCTGTGTACCTGTAATGTGCTTGCACCCCCTCACTGTGTACCTGTAGTGTGCTTGCACCCCATCACTGTGTACCTGTAGTGTGCTTGCACCCCCTCGCTGTGTACCTGTAGTGTGCTTGCACCCCCTCTCTGTGTACCTGTAGTGTGCTTGCACCCCTTACTGTGTACCTGTAGTGTGCTTGCACCCCTCACTGTGTACCTGTAGTGTGCTTGCACCCCCTCACTGCGTACCTGTAGTGTGCTTGCACCCCCTCACTGCGTACCTGTAGTGTGCTTGCACCCCCTCATAACATACCTGTAGTGTGCTTGCACCCCCTCATAACATACCTGTAGTGTGCTTGCACCCCCTCATAACATACCTGTAGTGTGAAGCCCCATTTGTTGTTTTCCTGATGAAGTTTAATAGTGCGGCGGCGCCGGGTCTCGTCTGGATCGGTATGGATGGCACGGTCTTTCTCCAGGTGATCCAGGTCATCCCCCACTGACCCCTGCCACATTAGTGGCTGCAAAGGAAGTTATCATCATTCCATATATCCATTCATAAATTGTCAAACTAGTTCAAACAGCCAAACCTCAGTGGGAAGGACCTGGGTATGCTGAGATTCCAAAATGTGTCAGATGCTCAGGCACAAGATAATCAATCTCTTTCATTTGCCAAATTCCACCTCTGTGGGATACATATAAAACAAGAAAGAAGTGAGCAAAGCTCACATACCCCGGTTATCCCCGCTGGTCAACAACAAACAGTAAATAGTTTGTTAATTAATGAAATATACCTGTTGCTTTATGTCAGAGGAACTGCCCTTCCCTTTGTAAACCCATGAGCTATACAAAACCAGTCATCAAAATTTCTAAATTTCATCATGTTTCCATGAAAACAGCCAAAGAAAAAAACTTTCAGAATCTCATAAAAGATAAAAAACAATCATAGTGGTTAATGTAGCAAGTTTGCTGAAGCTAGGATACATAATATTGTAAACATAGATCGTACAAAAACTCTACCCAAAATTTATGTTTCACCATGATTCCATGGAAACGGCAAAAATTAAAAAAATCAGAATCTTCAACCTAGCAAAAGGCACAAGTACTCATTGTGGTAAATGTGTGTAGCAAGCTTGATGAAGCTAGGATGCATAGTTAAAAAGATATCTGCCGTACAAAACACCCACACTAAAAGTTTAAGTTTCTTAATGTGTCCATGGAAACAGCAAAAATTAAAAAATTCAGAATCTTCAAACTAGCAAAAGGCACAAGTACTTATTGTGGTTAATGTGTGTAGAAAGTTTGGTGAAACTAAGATGCATAGTTAAAAGGATATAGGCCGTACAAAACACCCACCCTAAAAGTTTAAGTTTCTTAATGTTTCCATGGAAACGGCAAAAATTAAAAAGTTCAGAATCTTCAAACTAGCAAATGGCACAAGTACTCATTGTGGTAAATGTGTGTAGCAAGTTTGGTGAAGCTAGGGTGCATGGTTAAAAGGTTATGGGCCGTACAAAAGCTCTGACGGAAGGACGGACAGACGGAACGCTATATACCCCCGATTTACTTTGTAAACGGGGGTATAAAAATACATTAGAACTCTGTTAGCTAATATTTAATATGAAGAAAAGTTCAAACAAAGTATGTTAATATCGGTAAACGTAACTCTCTGACATTCCCATCCAGACGCTCGCATGCATGACTTTTCATTTTCTTTATTTACCCTGACCAACAATTCTTTTGAGGTGTCACCTAAAGAATGATGTTCATGTGTTACAAACAACTCTAAAACATTATTGTCAACAATGACCCTACGACTAAATCTCAAAAGTTAGTAAAAATAGAGGCGTGAATATTTATTTTATCACATCACTGTAACATGTATACAGTGAGCTTATCAGCCAGAGTATCTGTCAGTCTGGTTCTTGTTGCACCACTTGGCCGACTGTTTCCCAACTTCCATTACAACATGTAAGAGGGAAACCATGGGATATGCTTCTTACCAAGTGCCACTTGATGGAGTTACCCCTTTGTAACCGTGACAACCAACACTGGCTTCCATCAGATAAAATCATTTGAACACTTTTCATGCTTAGAGAGTCACTTCCACCTTCTTCATACGCCTTGAAGAATAGTGTTACACTGGCGTGAGCAGGACTGGCAAAACAGAAGTCTATTTCACGATTTCACGTCTGTTAATATTGTTGTTATTTCTGCATTACATTTTCTCCTATCTGGTGATCTTGATTTCGTATTTCTAACAGGCAATCTTATGTGTTGGTTATGAAACTGGGAAATGAAATATTATACATTGGAAACATTCTGAATATCTTGAATAATCATGATAATTGAAACTTGTTGGAATTACTTGACATGAATGTGATACAAATATATTATTTTCAACACACAAACATTCAACTTTACCATATTTCCTTTAACAAAAAGAAATATAACCATCGGAAAATACTGTAATAAGATTTATATCTTTGCTAAGTCCATGTTGTACATACTTATAGAACTCAAGTGTATAATTTTCGCTACAATAACATCAGTGATTAAATATTCTCTCACAGCAACACGACCCAACCTACTTCAAATATCCACTCAGTCACAATTGGTCTGTTTAACAGAAGCCAGGGAAAGAAATGCAGTTTTTCACAAGCGTGCCACAGGGCACATGTGCTGATGTGTAGGGGAGTGCTTTACAGTTATAGTGTGACACAGGGCACATGTGCTGATGTGTAGGGGAGTGCTTTACAGTTATAGTGTGACACAGGGCACATGTGCTAATGTGTAGGGGAGTGCTTTACAGTTATAGTGTGACACAGGGCACATGTGCTGATGTGTAGGGGAGTGCTTTACAGTTTTAGTGTGACACAGGGCACATGTGCTAATGTGTAGGGGAGTGCTTTACAGTTTTAGTGTGACACAGGGCACATGTGCTGATGTGTAGGGGAGTGCTTTACAGTTTTAGTGTGACACAGGGCACATGTGCTGATGTGTAGGGGAGTGCTTTACAGTTATAGTGTGACACAGGGCACATGTGCTGATGTGTAGGGGAGTGCTTTACAGTTATAGTGTGACACAGGGCACATGTGCTAATGTGTAGGGGAGTGCTTTACAGTTATAGTGTGACACAGGGCACATGTGCTAATGTGTAGGGGAGTGCTTTACAGTTTTAGTGTGACACAGGGCACATGTGCTGATGTGTAGGGGACTGCTTTACAGTTTTAGTGTGACACAGGGCACATGTGCTAATGTGTAGGGGAGTACTTTACAGTTTTAGTGTGACACAGGGCACATGTGCCGATGTGTAGGGGAGTGCTTTACAGTTATAGTGTGACACAGGGCACATGTGCTAATGTGTAGGGGAGTACTTTACAGTTTTAGTGTGACACAGGGCACATGTGCTAATGTGTAGGGGAGTGCTTTACAGTTATAGTGTGACACAGGGCACATGTGCTAATGTGTAGGGGAGTGCTTTACAGTTTTAGTGTGACACAGGGCACATGTGCTAATGTGTAGGGGAGTGCTTTACAGTTATAGTGTGACACAGGGCACATGTGCTAATGTGTAGGGGAGTGCTTTACAGTTTTAGTGTGACACAGGGCACATGTGCTGATGTGTAGGGGAGTGCTTTACAGTTTTAGTGTGACACAGGGCACATGTGCTGATGTGTAGGGGAGTACTTTACAGTTTTAGTGTGACACAGGGCACATGTGCTGATGTGTAGGGGAGTGCTTTACAGTTTTAGTGTGACACAGGGCACATGTGCTGATGTGTAGGGGAGTACTTTACAGTTTTAGTGTGACACAGGGCACATGTGCTGATGTGTAGGGGAGTACTTTACAGTTTTAGTGTGACACAGGGCACATGTGCTAATGTGTAGGGGAGTACTTTACAGTTATAGTGTGACACAGGGCACATGTGCTGATGTGTAGGGGAGTGCTTTACAGTTTTAGTGTGACACAGGGCACTTAAAATTGTTTGATAGGCACTTAGAAGTTGATGGATGACAAAGTAGACAATAAAATTATGGATAACAACTTGTTTATTATACTGTATTCTACCATGAATTTGGAATTTACTCGATTCTGATTGGTCAATCAGAGGCTATTAAATCACAATAAACCCCCTCTGATTGAAACAGCTGGTTTGACGGCCGCATCACTGCGGAAGCTATTCTTCATAGAATAGCACTTTTTTCAGTCATTGTCGGTAGGCATATTTAAATAATTATACCTACAATTACAGGTTACAAAATGCACAGATGCGGTTACTGCAATATTCAAAGGATGTGTGGCAAAACATTTCGTGCAGAAAACACGATAGAAATCTACAAAGGGAATGTATTTACGTTTTGGAGACAACAGAGAGCTTGGAATTTTGGCGCTTTTCTATATACGACTGTGACGTCATATCTTTTGCGTCACAATGAGCAACATGACGTCATAATGGTGATGTGGGAGGTAGAGCGAAAGCCTTGCAAAGCTTGCTTTGTTTTCTTTTAGGATGCCCACCTCATGTTAGCTTACCAAGTTGCCGTGCTTCTATGCTTTCAATTCTTGTCATATGTTCGAGTGAAGTATTACGGTGTAAACAAACTGCTTGAATATATATACAGCGCCATATTTTGTTTGGTGATTCGGTAATTCAGATCGATAACCCGCTCAAAACACTGTTCTCAACCCAGGCCGCTTCACTCAGAATATTTGGTAACACCAAAGAGTTGGCATTTTATTTTGTCATGGTAGAATGGAGATAAACATACTGTGTTTTCAATGTATAGCTAGGTTAGCTGTAGATTTAACCGCGCTAAATTTAACATTTGAAACCTCACGCTGCACGTTCGGTTCCAAATTCAATTTAGCGAGGTTAAATCTACAGGTAACCTAGCTCTACATTGAAAACACAGTATGTTTATCTCCTAAATAGTGACGTTTCAGTATAGATTCTTATACCATTGTCAAGCTCAACTTCCTGCCTTACATTAGGAAGAACACTGAAACAACCATGCCATGTCTGACAATGTTCAGCTCAAACCAAGATTCTTATTTCTCAATTATTACTATTTCCAAAATCTGAATGGACAGTGAAGGATTTTAATTAGGTTTTTTAAATATTGTTTATATATTTGTTCCCACAGTTCACACAGGCTTGAAGTATGCAGAGACTGGCCCAGGGCTGTGATGACCGGTTCCCTTCTCACCCGACACACTTTGAATGATATGGCATGTGCAAAACGTCACAATCTGGTGTACAATTTTAGATTAATAGGGTGTTTCTCTAATAAATATCAGGGGTGAGGGAAAGGTTTGGGGTGAGCAGATCATGAGAAACAAAAAACTATTTATGAAGCCTTATCTAAAAACATATGGCGTATATCTCCTTATCAAACTTAAAAAGGTTAAAGATGTAAAACTTGCGTTTTTCAACAAATTCTCATCTGTGGGAATTCATAGGCAGAAAACATTCAATCTATAATGCTTGAAATAGTGAGTGAGTGAGTGAGTATGGTTTT